AAATTAAATTTTTGTTATCCAGTCCATGGTATTGAAAAATTTTTGAAGGAAAACATTTCTGATTTCAACCAGTAAAGTTGGTTTTAAAGGAGAAAAGAAATATCTTATATATGTGAAATTACACTCCTATAACAGTTACTTGGTTTTATTTTTTTTTTTCTTTTAATGAGATTTTCATTCATTTAGGAATAACTTGTTAATTTTGACAAGTTATTTTTGCCAAAACATTAAAATTACTCAAAATAAATATCATATATTATTTATATATATATATATATATATATATAATATATATAAATATTTTGTATGTATTAGTCATTCTATTTTATTTTTGCTATTGGCTCAAAATTTATTTTTTCTCTTTTTTTTTTTGATTTTCACTCTTCTCTCTCTTTCTCTCTCTCTTCTCCTTCCAAATTATGAAATAAATCTCTCTTATAAATTTTAAGGAAAATTTCATATTTGAAAATTTTATATTTTTCTTTCTTCTTTTTATTATTAAAAAAATATTTTGCCTTTTCTTTCTTCTTTTATTTTAAATTTATTTTTTATTTCCATATTTAGCAAATCTTTTTTTTTTACTGATACATCTGTGACAACAAAAATTGATTCCATTTCTAAAAAAACTTTAAAATATTAAAAGCTCTTTTAAGAATAAATAATTTTAAGCCTATTCTATATTCAAAAAAAATCTTTTAGACTAAATATGTTATTTTTATTCATTCACAACATTTTGAAGGGATCATCATTTACAGTTCAAGTTACCTCTACTTTAGCAGCCTAATATATATATATATTTTATTTTTTTAGACTAAATATTTTATTTAATTTTCAAGGCAAGGTCTCATTATTTTAAAATTCAAACTACCCATAAAAGCCTAATGTATGTTTAATTTCCTTGTTTATCTAGGAAAAAAAAAATCCATCAATTCTTTAGAAATTTACTAATTTTCCTTAATTTTTTGTTTTTTTTTCTGGTCACAATCATGCTTATCCCAAGACTGAACATTCAAGACGTTAGTAAAAAAAATATACAAAGAAAGCAATGCTAATAGTTAAAAATTAAAGCCACCAAAAGCTAAAAATAAATTGCTTTGAACAATAAAATGGTAACATTGCTAAAATAAATTAAACATTTTAATATTTAAGACAGCAGGCCACCAGTGCATAAAATATCTAGTGGCATGAAAAATTGAAAATATGGAAAATTGATATGAATTCCTATTTGAAAAACATTTTTTTTCCATATATATGTACATTAGCCTTGGGAAGGAAAAACATGAGTTTTTTCTTCTATTTGGACTATTTTTGGGATGTGGTATGGAATTCATTATATGACCAGTAACCATCTCTTCACATTTAGTATTTATTAAATTTATACATTTAATAGGGTTTACTTCATGAAAAGTTTAAATAAAGATAGCTCTCATTTCAAACTTTTTGTTCTGATGAAGTTTGAAATGTTTTCATATTGGGGTCCACACCAGACATGTAAAATTTTGACATTTCGATATATTCCTTAGCCATTTGAAAAAATGCATTTAGTGGATTCAGAACTTGAAAAATATTGGCTTCTAAAACATTTTGAAGAGAAAAAGTTTTTATGATTGGAAAGATGTTGCTGTAAGGTCAAAATAGGAAAATGTCAATAAAAATATGTTTTAAAAATATTTGGTGTAATGGATAGCAGCTTGGATTGGGCAATTGGAGAGTTGATTTAATCATGAATTATAAAATTATGTGCTAATACCCTTGGGAAAGGTATGAATCCTCTTCTTCTTCCCCTGGCTATGGGTAAATAGCAGGACAGACCGGGTTCTATAGCCTTGGATTGCAACTGGTCTACCACAGAAATAAATGGTAACCTACTGCGGGAAAAAATCTGCCTCGTCAGTCATGTATCAAAAGATGTATCATGCATGGCACATAACTGACTGATGCAATTTCCTAAAGTTGCTTGATGACATATATTCAATCATTACATCTCTTACCAGAACTAAACTAGATTGTGAGGAGTTGACTTTCATAAAACGATGAGAGCCTAGTTAATATAATATTTATTAATACTTTCATCATAATGTATCCAATTGAGATACCTCTTTATGTGTGAGGGTATTGAGGGGTACTTTTTTGTTTCCATAGTGCATTAATGTGTGATAAACCTCACTTTTTGGGGATACATTTCTGATTCCAGATATATTTCATAAAATAGCACAATTTGGTATTGAATTTGAGGATAAAGTAAAGCTATTTTCAAAAGTTCAGCCTCAGTGCCAAGTTATGTCTTATTATTTCTTGTTTTTTTAATAACTTTCTTAATTTCCAGTAGGTTCATTATTGTTTACGTGCAGAGACGGACTTTGTAAAGATTGGTGTATATTGGTAAATGTTCTATTTCTATCACTTTAGTTTATTGTGGTCAGGGTTGAAATGAGATTCAGTGTTCTTTGAGACCAGGACATTTCTTCTGTGGTGGTTTTGATTGCATGATTGGGTTGCAATTTTTTTCCATAATTTAACACATTGTCTATGCTGATTGGCTTCATTAATTTTGTTTCCAATTTTCCAGAGATATTGGATTCTCAAAGTTAACTAAGTTTTTTATTTTCATTGTTAATTGTTTTGTATTTTCTCTTCCATTTTTACCTCTTCTGTTTGTTTCTTTTATCAATTTTTTCAACTCAGGTTTGTTGTCCAATAAGTGTATCTTTAGCCTTCTTCGTATTCTTGAAATTATCTCATGCATTTCAGTTAATGAAGATATGATAACATTGATTGCACTCTGATGTTTTGATCAAGATTTATTGACATCAATTTAGACTTTAGTTTATTATTGACTTCTAAATTTGCCCTTTAATTTTTCAAGGTTTCAATGTTATATATAATTATTTTTGGTAGTTTATGTGGGTGGAGGTGAGCTATTTTGTTAACTGGTGTTGTCAGTTTAATTACAAGTAGTCTGTGATCCGATTCAAAGTAGGAGTTGTATACTCTAACATCTGTCACAAACAGCCTAATCGAAGAGTCTGAAATGCTGAGGTCAATAATCTTTTTTGTCACATTATCTGGGCTGTGCCATGTGATGATTAAACCATGTGTTAAGGATCAAGCATCTTTTTGAGTAAGAAAAGGTTAGCAGGACACCTCCATTGCTGTTTGAGGCATCCATCTCAAAGGGTGATGTCTTCCTACCAGCAATGGAGCAGTGGTGTTTAAAAATGCTTGAGGCAGCATTAAAATCTGCATTGATGCACAGTTTTTTGGAGGAGAGGGCTCTAATATATAAAATTTACTTAATCTTGTGTAGAATCTCTCTTTTTCTGTAACAGTGTTTTTTTTTTTTTTTTCGACTTGGGCATAAATTGATATCACCCAGATCTTACAGCCATTAACAACAATATCGGTAGCCATCATCATTTCAGACTAGTGTATGATATTGTCTATTACAATATCCGGTGATCCGCATGTTGCAATTCCAACTCCATATTATCTTTTCCTCTTGTGGACATATCAAAATAAATTGTATACCAAATGTGCCATAGAATCACTATCAAGTCAATGCACCTCTTGCAAACAGACAACATCAACGTTTCCTTTCTTGCATTATTTTAAAAGGAAGTGCACTCTGAAATAATCTGATCATGATTGTCCTATTTTCTAGTCGCAGAACACTTCGAGATTTGATTTTGCAGTTGATTATTTACTTGTTGTTGACAGGCTGTGTGGCTCATTTGATAACGAACTGTTCACTCCGACATTTAGTGTAAAATATGTATGGTTATTCTTCATTATGTTAGAGGGTTTAATGGTCCCAGTGATCCCAAGAGTGAAGCCATCTAGAGTTCAAACTCCTGTAGGGTCATCCATGATGGTAAGGTCAAAGGGGAAGGACCATACTGAACGTGACCAACCCCAAAGACCCCAATGAAAGACTAGGTAAAGATCTAGATGATTTCAATGGTAAAACCAGCAGAAGAGAACAGCACCAGTCAGGTTGACATAAAGAAAGCAGACCTTGACAGATCAAACATCCAACAACCAGATGCAGCCAGGTTTGCCAGAGCCTGCTTGTCTCAATCTTCTTTGAGCCACAAGGGAGGTGCTTCTTGCCAAGTGTGTGGGCTTCTCCATCGTACTAAATCAAATTCATGCAAATGGTCTCGTCAAACTCTCTTGGATTCATGATCATTTTTGCAATCGGCACCAGGGGAGAGAAATGGAGTAGGGAGAGAGGATGATGATCCCAATGTTCGGATGCAAGTGGATGCTGAAACTAAAGTTCCTGACTAGAACTTTCTGAGCAAAAACTAATGATGAAGAAAAAAAATAAATGGTAGGATGAAAGCATTCATTTGGAAATCATATGGCATTCATATGATATTCATAGAGCATTCACATGGCATTCATATGGCATTCATAGAGCATTCACATGGCATTTATATGGCATTCATAGAGCATTTACATGGCATTTATATGGCATTCATATGGCATTCATGTAGCATTCATATGGCATTTATATGGCATTCATATGGCGTTCATGTAACATTCATATAGCATTCATGTAGCATTCATATGGCATTCATATGATATTCATAGAGCATTCACATGGCATTCATATGGCATTCATAGAGCATTCACATAGCATTCACATGGCATTTATATGGCATTCATAGAGCATTTACATGTCATTCATATGGCATTCATGTGGCATTCATATGGCATTCATATGGCATTCATATTGACAAAGTAGCAATGAATATATTAATTCAAAGAAAAAGTTGTGATGCAATAAAAAACAATGAAAGAAAAAGAAGAAAAAATTTATGTTTCAATAAAACACTTCATTTTATACTTTTCCCAAAATTGAAGCTTTAATTTTTTACAGTTCTTCAAGCGGGGATTCACGGCCATCATCCTCTTCAAGAGAGAAGATAAAAAACAATTCAGATAATCGGCCAGAAACTGGAGATAATCATCTGCCAGGTACAAGCAGGTGGAAGATGACATCTCCACATGAAAGTCTTCAACACAGACAAAATTCATATTATGAAGATTCAGGTGGTAAGAAAAGAAATTTGGAGATTAAGAGTAAAAGTTTTGTGAGGAAAAATTTAAAAACTGGAGCTGATTAGTCACTAAGAATAAATTACACTTTTTCTTGTAGAGTAGCAAGTGGAAGGGTCAATTTAGAAGTTAAATAATAACAAACTTAACACTATTCACCATTATTAGACTTTTTAGACAACATTGGGGGGATCAGTTTAGGAGTTAAATAATAACAACTTTGAACCCTTTTGGCCAGTAAGGTTGATTAGACTTTTAGACAACATCAAAGTGGGGGATCAGTTTAGGAGTTAATAATAACAAAACTGAAGCAGGACAGAGAGTTGATTAGACTTATAGCAACATCAATGGGGATCAGTTGGTTAAATAATAACAAAACTGAAACCTATTGGAAATAAAGTTGATTAACTTTTAGACAACATCAAGTGGGGAATCAGAATAGGTTAAATAATAACAAAACTGAACCCTATTGGCCAGTAAAGTTGATTAGACTTTTAGACAACATCAAGTGAGGGATCAATTTAGGACTTAAATGGAAACTGAACCCTATTGGCCAGTAAGAGTTGATTAGACTTTTAGACAACATCAAGTGGGCGATCAGTTTAGGAGTTAAATAATAACAAAACTGAACCCTATTGGCCATAAGAGTTGATTATATTTTTTAGACAACATCAAGTGGGCGATCAGTTTAGGGAGTTAAATAATAACAAAACTGAACCCTATTGGCCAGTAAGAGTTGATTAGACTTTTAGAAACATCAAGTGGCGATCAGTTTAGTTAAATAATAACAAAATGAACCCTATTATTAGTTGATTAGACTTTTTAGACAACATCAATGGGGATCAGTTTAGGAAAAATTGAGAACCTATTAGCCAGTAAGAGTTGATTAGACTTTTTAGACAACATATCATGGGCGATCAGTTTAGGGGTTAAATAATAACAAAAACTGAACCCTATTGGCCAGTAAGAGTTGATTAGGACAACATCAAGTGAGGGATCAATTTGGACTTAAATGATAAGGAAACTGAACCCTATTGGCCAGTAAGAGTTGATTGACTTTAAACAACATCAGTGGGCGATCAGTTTGGGAGTTAAATAATAACGATTGGCCAGAGTTGATTACAAGTTTTTAGACAACATTGGGCGATCAGTTTAGGAGTTAAAAATAAAAACTGAACCCTATTGGCCAGTAATTGATTAACTTTTTAGACAACATCAAGTGAAAGTTAAATAATAACAAAACTGAACCCTATTTCAGTTGATTAGACAGACAACATTATGTCAGTTTAGGAGTTAAATAATAACAAAACTGAACCCTATTTTTTAGAGTTGATTAGACTTTTAGACAACATCAAGTGGGGGATCAGTTTAGGAGTTAAATAATAACAAAACTGAAACCTATTGGCCAGTAAGAGTTGATTAGACTTTTTAGACAACATCAAGTGGGGAATCAGAATAGGAGTTAAATAATAACAAAACTGAACCCTATTGGCCAGTAAAGTTGATTAGACTTTTTAGACAACATCAAGTGAGGGATCAATTTAGGACTTAAAAATGTTCCCTTTGGCTATAAGAGTTGATTAGACTTTTTATTGTGGAGATCAGTTTAGGGTTAAATAATAACAAAATGAGATTGGCCAGTAAGAGTTGATTAGACTTTTAGACAACATCAAGTGGGGATCAGTTTGGGAGTTAAATAATAACAAAACTGAACCCTATTGGCCAGTGGTTGATTGACTTTTAGACAACATCAAGTGGGCGATCAGTTTAGGAGTTAAATAATAACAAAACTGAACCCTAATAAGAGTTGATTAGACTTTTAGACAACATCAAGTGGGCGATCAGTTTAGGTTAATAATTGAACCCTATTGCCAGTAACAGTTGATTGGACTTTTAGACAACATCAATTAATTTTGTTAAATAATAACAAAACTGAAACCAGAGTTGATTTTTGACAACATCAAGTGGGGGAATCAGAATAGGAGTTAAATAATAACAAAAGTTATTGGCGGTTTATGGTTTGTAATAACAGTAAGAGTTTTTAGACTTTTTAGACAACATTGGGCGATCAGTTTAGGGTTAAATAATAACAAAAACTGAACCCTATTGGCCAGTAAGAGTTGATTAGACTTTTTAGACAACATCAAGTGGGCGATCAGTTTCCATTTTTGAACCTATTGGCCTGTTTGATTAGACTTTTTAGACAACATTTTGGGCGATCAGTTTAGGGTTTTTTCAAAACTGAACCCTATTGGCCAGGTTGATTAGACTTTCCAACATCAAGTGGGCGATCAGTTTAGGAGTTAAATAATAACAAAACTGAAACCTATTGGCCAGTAAGAGTTGATTGAAATTTTAGACAACATCAAGTGGGGAATCAGAATAGGAGTTTAATAACAAAAGAACCCTATTGGCCAGTAAGAGTTGATTGAACTTTTATTGAGCAACATCAAGTGGATTTAGTTTGAAATAATAACAAAACTGAAACCTATTGGCCAGTTTAGTTGATTAGACTTTTTAGACAACATCAAATCAGTTTAGGAGTTAAATAATAACAAAAACTTTATTTTTTCAAGGACTTTTAGACAATCCGGGGCGATCAGTTTTAGAGTTAAATAATAATTGAACCCTATTTAAGAGTTGATTAGACTTTTTAGACAACATCAAGTGGGCGATCAGTTTAGGAGTTATTTAATAACAAAACTGAAACCTGGTGTTGATTAGACTTTTTAGACAACATCAAGTGGGGAATCAGAATAGGAGTTAAATAATAACAAAACTGAACCCTATTGGCCAGTAAGAGTTGATTAGACTTTTTAGACAACATCAAGTAGGGATCAGTTTGTTAAATAATAACAAAACTGGAAACCTTTTGGCCAGTAAGAGTTTGATTAAACTTTTTAGACAACATCAATCAAGTGGGCGATCGTTTAAGTTAAATAATAACAAAACTGAACCCTAATTGGCCAGTAAGAGTTGATTAGACTTTTTAGACAACATCAAGTGGGCGATCAGTTTAGGAGTTAAAAATAACAAAACTGAACCCCTACTTTTGGCATCAGTAAGAGTTGATTAGACTTTTTAGACAACATCAAGTGGGCGATCAGTTTAGGAGTTAAATAATAACAAAACTGAACCCTATTGGCCAGTAAGAGTTGATTAGACTTTTTAGACAACATCAAGTGGGCGATCAGTTTAGGAGTTAAATAATAACAAAACTGAACCCTATTGGCCAGTAAGAGTTGATTAGACTTTTAGACAACATCAATGGGCGATCAGTTTAGGAGTTAAATAATCAAATCTGAACCCTATTGGCCAGTAAGAGTTGATTAGACTTTTACAACATCAATGGGCGATCAGTTTGGAGTTAAATAATAACAAAACTGAAACCTATTGGCCAGTAAGAGTTGATTAGACTTTTAGACAACATCAAGTGGGGGAATCATTGATGTTAAATATAACAAAACTGAACCCTATTGGCCCAGTAAGAGTTGATTAGAGGACAACATCAAGTGGGCGATCAGTTTAGGAGTTAAATAATAACAAAACTGAAATTGGCCAGTAAGAGTTGATTAGACTTTTAGACAACATCAAGTGGGCGTGTTTAGGAGTTAAATAATAAAATAACTTTGAACCCTATTGGCCAAAGAGTTGATTAGAATTTTTAGACAACATTTGGGCGATCAGTTTTTTAAATAATAACAAAAACTAAAACCCTATTGGCCAGTAAAGTTGATTAGACTTTTTAGACAACATCAAGTGGGCGATCAGTTTATTAATAACAAAACTGAAACCTATTGGCCAGTAAGAGTTGATTAGACTTTTTAGACAACATCAATGGGGAATCAGAATAAGAGTTAAATAATAACAAAATGAATATATTGGCCAGTAAGAGTTGATTAGACTTTTAGACAACATCAAGTGGGCGATCAGTTTAGGAGTTAAATAATAACAAAACTGAACCCTATTGGCCAGTAAGAGTTGATTAGATTTTAGACAACATCAAGTGGGCGATCAGTTTAGGAGTTAAATAATAAAAACTGAACCCTATTGGCCAGTAAGAGTTGATTAGACTTTTTAGACAACAATGCACGATCAGTTTAGGAGTTAAATAATAACAAACTGAACCCTATTGGCCAGTAAGAGTTGATTAGACTTTTTAGACAACATCAAGTGGGCGATCAGTTTAGGAGTTAAATAATAACAAAACTGAAACCTATTGGCCAGTAAGAGTTGATTAGACTTTTTAGACAACATCAAGTGGGGAATCAGAATAGGAGTTAAATAATAACAAAACTGAACCCTATTGGCCAGTAAGAGTTGATTAGACTTTTTAGACAACATCAAGTGGGCGATCAGTTTAGGAGTTAAATAATAACAAAACTGAAACCTATTGGCCAGTAAGAGTTGATTAGACTTTTTAGACAACATCAAGTGGGCGATCAGTTTAGGAGTTAAATAATAACAAAACTGAACCCTATTGGCCAGTAAGAGTTGATTAGACTTTTTAGACAACATCAAGTGGGCGATCAGTTTAGGAGTTAAATAATAACAAAACTGAACCCTATTGGCCAGTAAGAGTTGATTAGACTTTTTAGACAACATCAAGTGATCAAAAGTTAAATAATAACAAAACTGAACCCTATTGGCCAGTCAGTTGATTAGACTTTTAGACAACATCAAGTGGGCGATCAGTTTAGGAGTTAAATAATAATAAAACTGATCCTATTGGCCAGTAAGAGTTGATTAGACTTTTTAGACAACATCAAGTGGGCGATCAGTTTAGGAGTTAAATAATAACAAAACTGAAACCTATTGGCCAGTAAGAGTTGATTAGACTTTTTTAGACAACATCCATCAGAATGGTTAAATAATAACAAAAACTGAACCCTATTGGCCAGTAAGAGTTGATTAGACTTTTTAGACAACATCAAGTGGGCGATCAGTTTAGGAGTTAAATAACAAAACTGAAACCTATTGGCCAGTAAGAGTTGATTAGACTTTTTAGACAACATCAAGTGGGAATCAGAATAGGAGTTAAATAATAACAAAACTGAACCCTATTGGCCAGTAAGAGTTGATTAGACTTTTAGACAACATCAAGTGTAAACCAGTTTAGGAGTTAAATAATAACAAAACTGAACCCTATTGGCCAGTAAGAGTTGATTAGACTTTTAGACAACATCAAGTGGGCGATCAGTTTAGAGTTAAATAATAACAAAACTGAACCCAATTGGCCAGTAAGAGTTGATTAGACTTTTTAGACAACATCAAGTGGGGGATCAGTTTAGGAGTTAAATAATAATAAAACTGAAACCTATTGGCCAGTAAGAGTTGATTAGACTTTTAGACAACATCAAGTGGGGAATCAGAATAGGTTAAATAATAACAAAACTTGAACCCTATTGGCCAGTAAGAGTTGATTAGACTTTTAGACAACATCAAGTGGGCGATCAGTTTAGGAGTTAAAAATAACAAAACTGAAACCTATTGGCCATAAGAGTTGAACTTTTTAGACAACATCTGGGGAATCAAATAGGAGTTAAATAATAACAAAACTGAACCCTATTGGCCAGTAAGAGTTGATTAGACTTTTTGACAACATCAAGTGGGCGATCAGTTTAGGGTTAAATAATAACAAAACTGAACCCTATTGGCCAGTAAGAGTTGATTAGACTTTTTAGTTAAATAATAACAAAAACAACATCCGATCAGTTTGTTAAATAATAACAAAACTGAACCCTATTGGCCAGTAAGAGTTGTTAAATAATAACAAAACTTTTTAAGAGTTGATTAGACAACATCAAAGTGGGCGATCAGTTTAGGGGTTAAATAATAACAAAACTGAACACTATTGGCCAGTAAGAGTTGATTAGACTTTTAGACAACATCAAGTGGGGGAATCAGAAGTTAAAAAATAAAAACTGAACCCTATTGGGTAAGAGTTGATTAGACTTTTAGACAACATCAAGTGGGCGATCAGTTTAGGAGTTAAATAATAACAAAACTGACTATTGGCCAGTAAGAGTTGATTAGACTTTTAGACAACATCAAGTGGGGAATCAGTTTAGGAGTTAAATAATAATAAAACTGAACCCTATTGGCCAGTAAGAGTTGATTAGACATTTTTAGACAACATCAAGTGGGGATCAGAATAGGGTTAAATAATAACAAAACTGAACCCTATTGGCCAGTAAGAGTTGATTAGACTTTTAGACAACATTACAGTTTAGAGTGGGGGAAAAATAATAACAAAACTGAACCCTATTGGCCAGTAAGAGTTGATTAGACTTTTAGACAACATCAAAAGTGGGTAAGGTTGATCAGTTTATGAGTTAAATAATAACAAAACTGAACACTATTGGCCAGTAAGAGTTGATTAGACTTTTTAGACAACATCAAGTGGGCGATCAGGGAATCAGTAAGAATAGGAGTTAAATAATAATAAAAACTGAACCCTATTAGCCAGTAAGAGTTGATTGGAGTTTTTTAAATAACATCATATCAGTAAGGGGATCAGTTTGGGAGAGTTAAAATAACAAAACTGAACACTATTGGCCAGTAAGAGTTGATTAGACTTTTAGACAACATCAAGTGGGGAATCAGAATAGAGTTAAATAATAACAAAACTGAACCCTATTGGCCAGTAAGAGTTGATTAGACTTTTAGACAACATCAAGTGGGGATCAGTTTAGGAGTTAAATTACAAAACTGAACCCTATTGGCCATAAGAGTTGATTAGACTTTTTAGACAACATCAATGGGGATCAGTTTGGGAGTTAAATAATAACAAAACTGAACCCTATTGGCCAGTAAGAGTTGATTAGACTTTTAGACAACATCAAGTGGGGAATCAGAATAGGAGTTAAATAATAACAAAACTGAACCTATTGGCCAAAGAGTTGATTAGACAACATTTTTAACAACATCAAGTGGGAAAAAAGTTTAGGAGTTAAATAAAACAGAATAGAGTTAAACTAACAAAACTGAACCCTATTCATTTTATAGTTTTTAACAAAAGACCATAAGAGTTGATTAGACTTTTAGACAAAAGTTGGGGATCAGAAGTTAAATAATAAAACTGAACCCTATTTAAGAGTTGATTAGACTTTTAGACAACATCAAGTGGGGAATCAGAATAGGAGTTAAATAATAACAAAACTGAACCCTATTGGCCAGTAAGAGTTGATTAGACTTTTTAGACAACATCAAGTGGGCGATCAGTTTAGGAGTTAAATAATAACAAAACTGAACACTATTGGAGTTGATTAGACTTTTTAGACAACATCAGATCAGTTTAGGAGTTAAATAATAAAAACTGAACCCTATTGGGTAAGAGTTGATTAGACTTTTTAGACAACATCAAGTGGGGGAATCAGAATAGGTTAAATAATAACAAAACTGAACCCTATTGGCCAGTAAGAGTTGATTAGACTTTTTAGACAACATTGGGCGATCAGTTTAGGAGTTAAATAATAACAAAACTGAAAATTGGCCAGTAAGAGTTGATTAGACTTTTAGACAACATCAAGGGCGATCAGTTTAGGAAAAGTTAAATAATAACAAAACTGAACCCCCTATTGGCCAGTAAGAGTTGATTACTTTTTAGACTTTAGACAACATCAAGTGGGCGACAGTTTAGGAGAAAATAATAACAAAACTGAACCCTATTGGCCAGTAAGAGTTGATTAGACTTTTTAGACAACATCAAGTGGGCGATCAGTTTAGGAGTTAAATAATAACAAAACTGAACACTATTGGCCAGTAAGAGTTGATTAGACTTTTTAGACAACATCAAGTGGGGAATCAGTCTAGGAGTAAAATAATAATAAAACTGAACCCTATTGGCCAGTAAGAGTTGATTAGACTTTTTAGACAACATCAAGTGGGGGATCAGAATAGGAGTTAAATAATAACAAAACTGAACCCTATTGGCCAGTAAGAGTTGATTAGACTTTTTAGACAACATCAAGTGGGGGATCAGTTTAGAGTTAAATAATAACAAACTGAACCCTATTGGCCAGTAAGAGTTGATTAGACTTTTTAGACAACATCAAGTGGGGATCAGTTTAGGAGTTAAATAATAACAAAACTGAACCCTATTGGCCAGTAAGAGTTGATTAGACTTTTTAGACAACATCAAGTGGGGAATCAGTCAAGTAAAAATAATAATCTGAACCCTATTGGCCAGTAAGAGTTGATTAGACTTTTTAGACAACATCAAGTGGGGGATCAGAATAGGAATTAAATAATAACAAAACTGAACCCTATTAGCCAGTAAGAGTTGATTAGACTTTTTAGACAACATCAAGTGGGGGATCAGTTTAAGAGTTAAATAATAACAAAACTTAACCCTATTGGCCAGTAAGAGTTGATTAGACTTTTTAGGCAACATCAAGTTGGGGATCAGTTTAGGAGTTAAATAATAACAAAACTGAACCCTATTGGCCAGTAAGAGTTGATTAGACTTTTTAGGCAACATCAAGTTGGGGATCAGTTTAGGAGTTAAATAATAACAAAACTGAACCCTATTGGCCAGTAAGAGTTGATTAGACTTTTTAGACAACATCAGGTGGGGGGTCAGTTTAAGAGATAAATAATAACAAAACTGAACGCTATTGACCAGTAAGAGTTGATCAGTCTTTTTAGACAACATCAAGTGGGGGTTCAGTTTAGGAGACAAATATTAACAAAACTGAACCCTATTGGCCAGTAAGAGTTGATTAAACTTTTTAGACAACATCAAGTGGGGGATCAGTTTAGGAGTTAAATAATAACAAAACTGAATCCTATTGGCCAGTAAGTGTTGATTAGACTTTTTAAACAACATCAAGTGGGGGATCAGTCTACAAGTTAAATAATAACAAAACTGAACCCTATTGGCCAGTAAGAGTTGATTAGACTTTTTAGACAATATCATGTGGGGGTCAGTCTACGAGTTAAATAATTACAAAACTGAACCCTATTGGCAACTAAATGTTGATTTGACTTTTTAGACAACATCAAGTGGGGATCAGTTTAGGAGTTATATAATAACAAAATTGAACCCAGTAATAGCAAAAATGTTTCTCATGTTTTTCTTATTGATTATATCTTTGTAAAAACATTCCCTCATTGTTTTAAACAAGAATTTTAATGATTTATTTCTTCTTTCAATTTTCTTGTTCAGAAGAACTGAGCCCCAGACAACAACCAAGCCAATGTTCCTTGTCTAAATACAAACCCCTACCTGCAATAAAAGGAAAGAACCATCGTGGTCCATCACCAGATATTCTTCGAAATCCCACAGTCTCCCATACTGAGGACACAGTTATGCACACAAAGAAGAAAGGCTCTCCTCATGAGACTAGAAAACCAGATATGGAACTAAAAGGAGAGTCACCCATGCTTTTGGAAATAAACCATCCAAAGCAAACCACCAATCATTTGGCCAACCCACATCTGGTTCAGAAAGAGTCATCACCCAACCCAACAGAGCCTTATGGGAATAATGAAGAATTACCCCCACAAAGCTGTCCACCAAATTCCACTTCATGGTCAGAATTGCCTGACTTAAATAATTTTCCTGATGAACCTGGTCCAGAAGAAGCAAGGACACTACTGGCTATTAAGTTGCCCAATGGTCAACGTATTCATCGTTTTTTCCGATTGAAAGACCCTTTATGGCTGGTCCGTCGGTTTGCCGAGGTCTCAAGCAGCAATGACTTTTCAAACTTCCAACTGGTCAAAAGTATTCCCCGTGAAATCCTTAACCTCAATCAGACCATTGAAGAAAATCATTTGTTGGAAAAGATCCTACTACACCTGGAAATATTCACTCATGACAGAAATATAAGACTTCCAAATTCTTCCTGACTTTTTTTCACCTGCAATTCCGACACTAACTGGTTTGTCCATTAGAGCTGAAATCCTTTTAAAATATGGATGTAATGTAGGAGGCCATTTTTGCATTTCCTCAGTTTTTTAGTGTACATAAAGAGCTTTGAAACAATAAACAAGAGACATAATAGCAACCATCTTGCCAATCTAATCGAAATGTAAAGTGTATAATATTTATATAATGCCAGCTGTAATGTAATTGGGCAGAAATGTAGAAGGTGACAAAATCACTCCATAGCAAACTTTGAAATGGTCAAGATCAAGGGAATGAAAAATTCTAAGGATAGCTGAAAGAGAAACATGTCAAGAAAAGGATCGAAAGATGTCAAGACAGATCGGGGAACAGACAAAGATATTGAAGTAGTAAAAAAAGAAAAGTGGGCATAGATGCCACATATAACAAGAAGAAAGGACAATAGGTGGAGCAAAAGGTCTACAAATAATGACAAAATCGACTTTGGTGGGACTTATAGCAGCCAGAACGGATGACAGGTGTCCTAAAAGGTTGGTTGATTAGTACCCACAGATAGTCAAAAAAATGGACTTAGATGATACAAATAGCAAGCAGAAAGGACAACAAGAGGAGCAAAAAGTTGGTTGGTTTGTACCGAATGACATGGTAGACAAGTACTGAGTTATAATTGTCATGCAAAGAGTTGGGAAAGGCCATGTTCAGCAGCCATGATGGCAGTGGCTGCAGCAGCTGCTGCTGATGCTGGTACCATACTGTATACTATTATAAAACTATTTTTCTTATAATAAAGAATATATATTTATTCCTTATTTTAATAGTGCAGTTCAGTAGGTCTTAATCTTTTCTTGAAGGAGTGCAAAATTTATTATGAATACCCATGTAAGATTTAATTTAAACTTATTTTAAGAATATTGACTATATTAATAATAAAAAACAGTTCAGTTATTTTTTCTGACACATACCCAGCCGAAGGCCAGTCTCATCCCTGTGATTTTGTTTTTCTCAACCGGTGATTGTTGGACGTAGGCCTTCTCCAGATTCATGGGAAAGAATGAGTTTATTACCCTATAGCTTGCCCAATGTGTGTTAGTCAGAGCGGATACAACACGCTTGGGTGATCATCTCTCTTTTCGATTCATGATTGCTCAGTGGTATTTGAGGCTAAGTGAATCTGACGGTAATTTGAACCCGGCTGTCTGATTTCCTATTCCAAGTCATCATCAATTGCACCCCCCCCCGCTCATTGCACATCCAAACTTGCAGCACCTTATATTCCAAAGTGGTTACCCATTTATATACACCCCAAGCTCATTGTTGCTTAACATTGGTGATCAGATGAGAACTGGTTTTTTCAACGTGATGTGGCTGTAACATCATCCCTGGCATTAAATCCAAAAATCTGTTCTTAAATCCCAAATCCCTTTAATCTCTGCTTACATCCATATCATGCTGAAACACCGGTGTGATCTACAGAGTTAAGCCTGATCAGTACCTAGATGAGTGACTGTTTCAGAATACAAGGTGCTGTAAGCTGTGATGTGTGGGTGGTGTAATGGCTAATGGCACGGAATTGTTAATCAGAGAGCTGAGTTCCAATTCCCATTGGGTTCGTTATATTCACTTACACACAAATACCCCTAGAAAAGGTATGAATCCACCTCTTCTCCATCCAGCTATAGGTTAATGAGCAAGACTTAGCAATATTATCTCAAAAAAAAAATTATTAGAATCTAAAAATATTCTCTGTCTTTAAATAACCTACAAAGGGTTGATAAGCCATCAAACAGATCAATTAATAAATGAAATACTGATTAGCTACACAGGCATGTATTTTAGATTTATTTACATTCTCTGGAATATAACTGTATAGAAACTACCGTGGTCACAAAGTGAGAGGCCAGTTTATATAATGATTGTAATATAAAATTGATCTCCCTTTCTTTATATCCAAATTATAAATTCTTGTTTGTTTATCAAATTCTGATTAGGTATTAATCTACCTCTTCTTCATTCACCAGTTATGGATTAATTAGTAAGATTTGTATCACTAAACTAATATTATCTCCCCCAAAATAAATTCTTAGAATCTAAAAAATATTTTCTGGCTTTAAATAACCTACAAAGGGTTGATAAGCTATAAAAGACAAATCAATCAATTTAATCTGTTGTTTCCAGCATTAGCTTACTATTATCCTATTTGTTGGTATTGGCATATTTCCCTGATCATATTCTCTGGTCATCTTCTCTATCCTTTTTTTTTTTAAATAATTTCACCTCATGGAAGGTAATACAGCCACTAAGACACAGTGTCAAAGATTATGAGAAAAATATACTTTTAAGGAGAGAGAACAATAATGGAACAGAAATTAAGAATACAGAAGATAATGATTGACATTGCATTTAAATTTTTGAAGATCAAAATTGACAGGAAAACAAAAAGTCAGAAGGGAGTTCCACAAGTGAAAATTGAGTGAGAACAATAGAAGAGTAATCAGAAAGACAGTAGATAACAATTGACATTGCATTTAAATTTTTAAAGATCAAAATTGACTGGAAAGCAAGAAGCCGGAAGAGAGTTGCACAAGGGAAAATTGAGCGAGAACAATAGAAGAGTAATCAGGAAGACAGTAGATAATGATTGACATTGCATTTATATTTGTGAAGATCAAATTTGATTGGAAAACAAGAAGCCAGAAGAGAGTTCCACAAGCAAAAATTGAGCAACAACAATAGAAGTGTAATCAGGAAGACAGTAGACAACGATTGACATTGCATTTAAATTTTTGAAGATCCAAGTTGACTGGGAAGTAAGAAGCCAGAAGAGAGTTCCACAAACAAAAAGTGCAATACAAGAAACGTTTAGCTTAGAACTTACTGTTACATCTCGCCATTTCAACTGTAAGATGATGAGACCTTGTTGCCAATCTAATACTAAGCTTAAATGTATAAAGTCTAGGTGCCATAGAGGAAAGTTCATCAAAACAATTACTATGAAAATATTTATAGAAAAGGCACAGGGAATCTACATTATGGCCATGGGAAAGGGACTGAAGCCGAGATGCCAGGTCAGGACCAATAATATTGTAGATTCTTCTTTGCATTTTATCAAAAATCTCTAGAAGATTCAGACTCTTCTTGCACCATTCTTATCAACCTGTAAAGGTCCTTTGTTGGACCTTAGGCCTTCTACAGATCCCGCCATTTTTGCTGTTCATGGGATGGAATGTGACAATAACCTATCACATTGGCCCGATGTATGTTGGTGACGTTGGATATTCTATGCTTGGATGATTATGTTGCTTTTTTATTCATGATTGACTTGGTAGGAATTCCCACAGTAGGCTGTCGTTAATCTCTGTTTCTATTGAATTTATGAAGACCAACGAAATGGCCTTTAATCAAATTAAAAAGAAAATAAATGTCAAAATACAAAAGTTTTTTTGTACCAATAATTTTAGTACACCAACTCCTCGTTTAACGACTAACATGTTTAACACCCCTCTCTCCCCGGAATTACGACCAGCTATAAAATCTCATAAAATAAAATATTTCTTTTTAAAATCCAACCGTTTGTTATCTGAAACATTGATCGTAATTGTCTTCTTTTTCTTCAAAATGAATCAAAATAAATGAAGTGAATAAATAAAGTTAAAAATAAGTTTAAAAAATCACTTATATTCTATACCCTTGTGCAAATTAACTGAAACAACCGCTTTAGTTTCCTTTCTTTCACCATGCGGTGAGTTTTAGACCAACTGGAGTGACAAGGTGATTTCTATTTTTTCCTCAAATTAGGCCATTTACAGTAGTGTGCAGCAATATGAATCTACTTTCTGGGTGTCTGATGAAATTTGTTTGGCCTTGAAAAATACTGCATCATCCGTGATAGCATCAGATTTTAATCACGCCCAGACACTATTATCTCGACTGTCGATTAGTTATCCTACGGCGAACACTCTCCTAATTTAAATCCAGTCGAGCATCTGTGGTCAATCTGCAAGGAACGACTTCGTGGAATGGACATACGAAGTACTAACATGTGCACTGTTTCATGTTTTATTGGAAAAGTAGGAAAAAATGTAAATAATAACGGAATTGTTTTGTTTCAATGAATTTGCACAAGGGTGTAGTATTTTTCAGTATGCAAACGGAAGCAATGTACAGAATACAGAACTGATTTTCCAATTTGTTTATTACATTTACTTTTCAGTCCACTACTGTATAAACATTTAGAAAGAAATTCGAAATGTTACAAATACTGCAAAAGATGACATTAAAGCCCTGAAGTTGGTTGACACAAACCCATTCAGTGCCATATGTGATAAATGCTTGGGCGATAATGTCTCTTTAGATTCACGACTGGCTAAGCAGAAGATTTTTCACGCAGTAGTCTGCTGTTTCATTCTGTGGTAGACTTGTTGTCAAACAAGGCTATAGAATCTAGTCAGCCCTGCTATTTACCTATGGCTGGGGGAGAAGAGGTAGATTCATACCTTTCCCTAGGCTATTAGTACGAAGTGAATGTAATGAACTCCACTGGAATTTGAACTCGGCTCTCCGATTCCTGAATCTGAGCCGCTATCCATTACTCCTTAGATTTATCTATTCACTTAAACCCCGGCCCATTTTTTTTTCGATTCAAAGAGATGAAAAGAAAAGAAAAAAGAAAAATTACTATATAAATACTTCGTACATGAGGAAAAAAGCTCAAAGTATATATTGTCTAAAACGTTATGGTTAGAATCACAAGAGGAAAGAAAACTGTGTAAAAATATTCAGAATAATGAAAGGTTTTCATTAACACGTTGTGGGACTCAACTTTTTTTTGTTGAGGGGTGTGGTTGTTTTTCCAGTAGTCATTTAACAGCTCCTATTGTCCCACAAACAATAACTCACGTGAGTCCGGGTAAAATTAAATAAATAAATGTATGTATTAACAAAAGAAATTACATTAATGTATGCACAATTAGAAGTAAAGAAAAATATATTAAAACTTAGCTACTATGTATGTACTTGTTTGCGTATGTGTAGTACAAGCTTGTGTGATACATACGTGTGTGTATAAACATGTTTATGAGAGTTTAGTAGTCGTTGGATCGGAGAAGCGAATGTGTCCCCGCAGGGACACCTTACCTACGTTCTACTACATCTTTGAGCAAGAGGAAAAAAGAAAAGAGAAGAAGAAATGTTTGCCATTTTATAGACTTAAACAGCGCCGCCTAACAGCATTTGGCGAATCCAAGTGGAGCAACTTGCAGACGCCAGTTACATGCGGGCTATTATCCGCATTTATATTGTTATTATCACAACCATTTTTGTTGTTGCTATCATAATTGAGCAGTACCAAATAAAGAACTAAACGAGGCATTCTCAGAATAACCTAACCTCGTTGATATTAAATAAAGGCTTACCCTGATCGATAAGCACCTGATGATGGCACAAGGACCGAAACGTTGTGATACTAAGAATATAGATGAAGGTAATAGTCCCCATGTAAATTATGTAAATAATGATAACTCCTGGTTCAGATGTAGAATACTTCATCTCAGAAGACAAAATAATACAACAATGAAAACTTATGTTTCTTCTGCTGTAAACATACACATACGTTTTTAAGTAATTTATATTGCTTGTTGTAGATGCATACCCATATGCAAGTTAATTGAAACAAAACGAATAATTCCGTTAACATTTCTTTTTTTCTTCCTTTTCCAATGAAACATGGCCCAGTACACATGTTAGTACTTCGTATGTCCATTACACGAAGCCATTCCTTGCAGACTGACCACTGATTCTTGATTGAATTTAAACCAGGAGACTTTCCGGGCCAATCTATAGTACTTTGATTTACTCACTGGTAAGACTTGCCAGTGTGTTCATGTAGCGTTATAATTTTCGTACGATTCCTTGGAGTGACATTCATCGCATAAAATGGCTGTAAGACAACTAAACGACAGTCGAGACAATAGTGTCTGGGCGTGATAAAAATCTGATTCTATCACGGATGACAATATATTTCAAGGCCAAACAAATTTCATTAGGCACCCCGAAAATAGATTCATGTTACTGCAGACCACTGCAAATGGCCTAATCTGAGGAAAAAATAGAAATCAATTACACCCTGTCATTCCAGTTGGTCTAAAACTGACCGTATGGCGAAAGAAAGAAGACTAAAACAGTTGTTTCAATTAATTTGCACAATGTTTTCTAGACGCTGTAAAATGTAATTTACTAGGATTTGTGTTACGGGCTAACTGGCGCTTAATGCTATTTACAAATCAGTGTAGACTATATAGTAACACACAATACAACCTGTTTTGTGACGTACTTTTTATTATATTGAGTGTTGTTTAGCTTGGTCTATACTGCAGAATATCCGACTGAAATCAGAAGGGCAGCACTGATGAGAAATGGCCGTCATATTTATCATTTATTTCCATTAAATAGGATTTTTTTTTGTTTTCCCACAAAACGGGCCAGAACAGCCAGACAACAATGCTTTAACAATGGAGGAGTGAAGGTAATGGTAGAATAACGCTTATACTCAAACTCAGGGAAAGACTGCTGAAATTCCTTGGACATCATGAAGAATTAAACTTAACCCCCATGAAGCGTATTGATTGCAAGAGAGATAAAGGAAGGCAACGAGTCATTTAGCTGATGAGATTGCGTGCATGGATGCCGGAACAAGAGAAGAAGAGAGCCTTAGCAAAGGGAGAAAAACTGCTAAAAACCACAGGAAGCTGTGGAGAGTCATGATCGCCTATGGTCTGAAGGAAACATTTTGACAATCAATCAAAGAGGAACTCTTTCGTATTCAAAGCATTCTTGGGTGAAGATGATTCGTATCGAAATCAGTCCAACTTTTAAGAACTTCATCCCTTCTCAAGTAACTCACCATTTACCAATATGCTCAAAATGTAAATTGTATATAATGACAGCAGTGATGTACTAGTGTAAAACCTAGAAATTGACAAAATCGTTTCAAAGCAAACTGAAATGCACCAGGATCAAGAGAAAAACATTCTAAGGATGGCTGAAAGAGAAACATGTCAAGATAGATGTTAAGAAAGGAATTACCCCAACAAACGTGTCCACCACATTGCACTTCATGGTCAGAATTGCCTGACTTAAATAATTTTCCTGATGAACCTGGTCCAGAAGAAGCAAGGACGCTACTGGCTATTAAGTTGCCCAATGGTCAACGTATTCATCGTTTTTTCCGATTGAAAGACCCTTTATGGCTGGTCCGTCGGTTTGCCGAGGTCTCAAGCAGCAATGACTTTTCAAACTTCCAACTGGTCAAAAGTATTCCCTGTGAAATCCTTAACCTCAATCAGACCATTGAAGAAAATCATTTGTTGGAAAAGATCCTACTACACCTGGAAATATTCACTCATGACAGAAATATAAGACTTCCAAATTCTTCCTGACTTTTTTTTTTCACCTGCAATTGACACTAACTGGTTTGTCCATTAGAGCTGAAATCCTTTTAAAATATGGATGTAATGTAGGAGGCCATTTTGCATTTCCTCAGTTTTTAGTGTACATAAAGAGCTTTGGAACAATAAACAAGAGACATAATAGCAACCATCTTGCCAATGTAATCGAAATGTAAAGTGTATAATATTTATATAATGCCAGCTGTAATGTAATTGGGCAGAAATGTAGAAGGTGACAAAATCGCTTCATAGCAAACTTTGAAATGGTCAAGATCAAGGGAATGAAAAATTCTAAGGATAGCTGAAAGAGAAACATGTCAAGAAAAGGATCGAAAGATGTCAAGACAGATCGGGGAACAGACAAAGATATTGAAGTAAGAAAAAAAGGAAAGTGGTCATAGATGCCACATATAACAAGAAGAAAGGACAATAGGTGGAGCAAAGGGACCACAAATATTGACAAAATCGACTTTGGTGGGACTTATAGCAGGCAGAACGGACGACAGGAGTCCTAAAAGTTTGTTTGATTAGTACCCACAGATAGTCAAAAATGGACTTAGATGATACAAATAGCAAGCAGAAAGGACAACAAGAGGAGCAAAAGGTTGGTTTGTACTGAATAACATGGTAGAACTGCGAATGCTTTATTTACTACCCCTCCAAGCATGCACTCTCTTTACAAGAGCCAGCTCAGACCAAAACGTGTTTTTGTAATCATTTCACCACCAGCATAATGGGAATGCAACCGGTATGCAGGGCGTTACAGGAACCGAGGAAAGGATAAAAGCTGAACAAGCTTCAAGAAGATAGAAACTGGCGATTGACGTTGCATTTAATTTTTTGAAGATTGTAATTATCAGGGAAGCAAGGAAACGGAAGAGAGTTCCACATGCGGGAAGTGTGAAAAAACTGTTGAAGTAGAAGTGGCTGTTACTTTTAACAAATTAAACAGTAAAAAGGTGAGACCTAGATGCCAATCTAGTAGAACACTTAAACTTATGTAGTCCGGGCACCAGTGGAAAAAGCTCTTCAGAGCAGTAGTAATGAAAATATTTGTAGAAAAGACAGAGGGAAGCCACATCACGTCGATGAGAAAGAGACTGAAGTCGAGATGCCAAGTCAGGACCGATTACATTGCAGATCCTTCTTTGGATTTTGTCAAGAACCTTGAGATGAGTAGCAGAAGCACTAGGCCAGATATGGCAAGGGTATTCAATGCACGGATGAATGGTAGATTTGTAAATATGCAAGATGGACTCTGACGAGAAAAACCTTCTCGCACGACACAGTGACCCAACATTCCTTGCAGTAGATGCAGCTGTTGATTCGATGTAGTCGTTCCACTTCAAGTCAGTTGAAAACGTAAAGCCAAGAAGCCACAGTGTGTTGCTTTCCATGAGTCGATCATCAGGCATGGTGATGGCGGGCAGGAAAGAATCTCGATGAAGGTTGAATGAGAGCAGTTTTGTTTTGGAGCCATTTCCTCCCCCCCCCCCGTTAACCACAGATTAGAGGGTCCTTTTAAAGAGCAGCGGCTAGGTTAAGTTTGTGAGCTCTGCCAGATTTGCTATTGAGACAGGAGTAAATGGCCGTTTCGTTGGCATAAATGCCTACCTGGGAACTGATGACATCAGGATGATCAGTGAAGAAGATCAGAAACTGCGTAGAAACCAGGATAGAGGCTTGGGGGTTACCTGCGTTCATATGAAAGGATCTTTGTCTTTGAAACGCAAGAGTGGCCTACCAACTGACCTAAGAGGAACTGTTTTGGAAGTTTACTATTGCTCATACTACAAAGATGTCCTACCCAGCTGAGTTGAATTTTCATGAGGATGGCTTTAATACCTGTCATGTTGCATTTAGTCAGAACTTCACTGTTTCTAATGTGATCACCCATATATATATATATATATATATATATATATATATATATATATATATATATATATATATATATATTCAGGACAACATAGTTCAGAAAAGTAAGTTTTATTTATTTGTATACAAAGATAAATAGCTCACGTAAATATGTAAAACATTTATGTGATTAACTGTAGTGTATATGTGCGTGTGTGCATGCGTACACCATATGAACTGGTTGAAGAAGTCGATTTACCGGGGGTCAGTAATCTCCCCGGCAACTAAACTCTTCTTGTCGTTAACGTATCCTGTGAGTAAGTAAAAAAAATAATAAAATAAATGAATAAAAAAGAGTCAGAAAATTTGTGTGTCCTTTTCTTTTATATTGCTTAATACGACGCCACATTATCAGTCTTTAAGCGAATTCCCCTGGCACACAAGGTGAGGTAATACTACAACATCCTTCAGCTTGAATTATCGCCCTGTATGCAAACATTGGCACTTATATTGTCTATTCGGCTTTGTGGATAATCTCGTAATTAATACAAACCATTTTACCTGTTTAATAATGTATGCTATATCACTGTTTCTATATGAGTCAGACAAAAGTCATTTGAGCGACCTCAGATACCTCTATTACAAGTTTCATTTCATTTCTCAATTTTTATTATTCACTAACGTTGAATGAAGTATATTGAATTTTTAAAAAAATTGTTTTCCCATAATATGAGGCTAGATAAAGCAATCTGTGGCGGATTATGTAGAATCCATAGTAATGACTAAAACCCCTGTAATGACTAAAACCATTTGACTCTTAGACACGAGTAAATAAAACCAAGATTGATCCTGTCTCCCAACCTACCCTCAGAAAATGACGAGGTTGCTGAGGACCGTGTGGGTTTGAGTGTTGTTGAATTAGAAACACGTGCTGTTTATTCCTGCTAGAAGAAGATCCAGCTACAAGAACATGGCGGACTCAAGTTAAGCCCAACAGAAGAGGCATAGAAAACAAATAAAATATATATATATATATAAATATAGATATATATATATATATATATATATATATATATATATACCGTCATCCACAGACAGACTGTTTCGCAGCTCATCAATGTGGCTAGACATCCGGTTGCCTCCAGCTAGAACGAAACCCGACTGAACTGGTGTCAGTCGTAGATTCTAACCATTAAGCCATCGGCGCACGGTAACGAGGAAAGTGGATTTTTAGCGTGTTTATCTTTATAAACACGCCCAGTGTAAACAACAAATTTACAAGTGACAAAGGCATCAACATTTGTTTTTTGTGTGCGAACTTAAAAGAGTTTCTATTTTGGTGAAATGTTCGTACGTACATGTATGTGAGTTTCATGGCGTTTTCCCATAAGCGGGCAAAACGCAGATTTCTATGAGAGATCACATTTTTAGATGTGTCCGCTGAAATGCAAAGTAGAAAAGAGAACGAGGCAAGAAGTTGCCCAGTATTTATAGTGTAGGGAAAGCGTGCCCTAGTGACAATTACGGAATTAAGGAGGAGCTAACTCCGATAATGTGGCCAAATCAGTCAGAATATGACATTGAAATATTATTTTACAATCACTTAGATTCGAGAAAACTGTTTAATAGAAATATTTTTCAACTAATGAAACCACGGAACTGAATCTCGACAAATCTCTCTCTTGGAGCCACTGGGAACAAATAAAAGAACACACAAAAAAAACAAACTTACTTCATCAAATAGACTTTCGTCGGTTTTAGAATACGTCACCCGCTTTTACAAACCATTTCTATCTCTTTTCCGTTCAAATACTTAGAGAACTTTCTGCACAGAAAACTTCCAGGAACTTTTCATAAAAGACCGCACATTTTTGCGAGAACATTTACTTATATGACATTTTTAATACAAGGAATCTTTCACTGAGTGACGATCGTATCTATTTCAAATTCCAAAGGACAATTTAAACAATGTGCATCATTTTTTTTTATTTTGATCTATATAATTTATAAATGTATTAGTGTTCCATGTCGTAAGTAGCGATAACAATTGCTAGAAAGTTTTAATATCGTGATGCAATGAAACAAAGAATTCATTGAGATTCAATAAAACGGCGATCCAGAATTTGCAGCTAAAATCGAAGCCAATGGACTTTTTAATTAATCCGTTCTCTTACGACTACGTTTCATAAAAAGATTTTTTTTATATACAAGGAGTGGTAGAAATATTCCCCCCACATATACCTCTCAGATAATTGTAAGACATTTAGTGTCAATGTTATCTTCATCTGGTTGTCTTACCATGATGTGGGGTAGTATTTCTAGGGGGTTAATTTCATTGCATAAGAAACATAACAATTAAATGTATTTCGCTATATTACATAACAGAGATTCAGAATTAAAAAAAAAAGTCACGGAACTGTTTACACTTTTCATTCAGTAATTACTACGTTTCTTGTAATAACTTGTTTTTTAAATAGAAGTTCTTGGTTGTCTTTAAAATGGAAAACAATCCCCAATCCGTGAGTTGCAGATCTCAGAAGTCAGTTCAGAACTTACAATTTAAACAGAAGCTATTGGTGAACTGCTTAGTCAATTAATTCCTTTATCACAACATTTCTTGTGAAAGTTTTATTTTCAAGAAGATTGCCTTCGTTGTCTTTATTTTCGATGCTTATTTTGAGGTGGTTTTCATTTTTAGTTCTGCTGAACACCACATATAGCTGTCCATGAGTAAACAGTGGAGTTTATAAATAAACACAAACATGATAAAATCATTAACTTGTTAATAGAATTACATAGAGCGTGTCACGAAAGATAGAAATAAATAAATGCACAACGGTAATTATTATATAGTGTTGATTTTAAAAATGAGGAACTACTTATAAATTTACTACCTTAGGTTGATTTACCTCTCTTTCCATTATAGATCGTTACACGAAAGATATAAATAAATAATAGAAATGAATAGAATAAATAAACAGCGGTAATTATTATATACGCTCTTGTGCAAATTAATTGAAATAACCGCTTTAGTTTCAATTCTTTCACCATACGGTCAGATTTAGACCAACTGGAGTGACAGGGTGTAATCGATTTCTATTTTTTCCTCAGATTAAGTCATTTGCAGTGCTGTGTAGTAATATGAATCTATTTTCATGGTGTATGATGAAATTTATTTGACCTTGAAAACTGTTGCGTCATCTGTGTTTGCATCAGATTTTAATCATGCCCATACTCTATTGTCTCGACTGTTGATTAGTTGTCCTACGGCCATTAGTTGTCCTACGGCCGTACAAGGAAGAGTACGAAAATTGTAACGCTGCACGAGCACACTGGCAAGCCTTATCAGTGAGCAAATCAAAGTTCTATAGACTGGAGTGGAAACTCTCCTGATTTAAATCCAATCGAGAATCCGTGGTCAATCTGCAAGGAACGACTTCGTGGAATGGACATATGAAGTACTAACATGTGAAATGGGTTATTATTCCGTTAATTTTCACAAGGGTGTAGTTTTGATATTTATTAATTATAATTTTTTTTTTAAATCTAAATAATGCTTCTATATTGTTATGCAATAAAGATTTAAACTTAGATGATCCTTACTGTCTTTCTATGATACATTTGTATCTGTCTAAAATATTCTCTTTGCTGCTAAGTGAAAGAGAAATATGACTGCTTATTATTCTCCATAAATGGTTTTAGGGTTTAACTGAAAAATAGAGAGAGATCACCGCTGATTGAATATTTAGTACAAGTGAAACATAACATTCACATTTGTTTTATTGTGACTAGAATTTACAAGGCATATTTTTATACATTACAGTTAATTTAGTATTTGGTATGGGAATTTATTGAAGATATCAAACCTTCGAATGCTAGGAATATTTCTCGATGGAATTTTTATGCGATTCTAGAAGTATTAATATTTATTGAATCTGATGAATGAAAAAAAAAGAAAAGATTTTGAAAACGCAATCAACAAATTCTAATTTGGAAACTTCTATAAATTCAAGTATTTCAGTAAAGATGAACTGATCTGCTCAAAGCTTCGACGACAGTTGCTACATAATTTAAAAAATATTCTTATGTCGTATTTTTGCATTTTTGCAAAATTAATATCATCTTTCTCTATCAAGTTATCAATTTTGTTTTTAAATTCTTACTAATTATTATTATTAATATTATTATTTATATTTCATTTTGTTTTTTGTTTTTTATTCCGCCAAAAGGTGTTAACTTCCTTGAAAGATTTTTTTGCCAAACATCAAAACGACTTTTAATTTTCGAATCACCATTTTAAAAAAAAAGAATTCGTTGTAGTTTGTGTGTATTTTTTTTTCGATTCAATTCTCACAGATACCAACAACAATTACAAAGTCAGAAATTATTTTTTCAAGGCGGTCTTTTTGAAAATGTTGGTTGAAAGATTTTTTTTTTCTTCTTCCTTTTTTCCCGGTTCCATTCAAGAATTCAATTTTCACTTTTACAAGCCGAGTCTCTGAAAAAAAACAAAAAAAAAACATTGAAAACGATAAACAAATTAAATACATAAATCATGGAAATATCATACTTATTATAAAACCCAGGTTGTGTGTGTGTGTGTGTGTGTGTGTGTACGTTTATATATTGGATCGATTCCTACACATTTTTCAACCGATTTCAACAAAACTTCACAGGACTACGTAAAATTACCTTGCGGTGGTTCTGACAGCGCCAAAAATTGGAAAAACACAATTGTTTTGGCACGAAATCAATTTGAAAACACGATTAAGAGGCATCGCGAGAATGAAAGGGGGACAACTCATATCGAGTTATGCTTATAAAACCCAGGTTGTGTGTGTGTGTGTGTGTGTGTGTGTTCGTTTATATATGGGATCGGATTTCCTACATTTTTCAACCGATTTCAACAAAACTTCACTTTTTTGGGGCAGATAGTGTTTCTTATTGTCTTGCACACTTTTTTCTTTATTTTTACATTCAGAATGCTTTAAAAATTCCATTTACAACACAATTGTTTATAATCAAATTCTATTCAATCGGTAGACTCATAACGATTGAAAACAATGTTTTTGTTTGAGTTTGGGTTTGACCAAAGGAAAAAAAAAAAAAACAAAAAAAAATAACTAATTAAGACATGCGTGTCCGTCAACCTTAAACAATAATCTTTGTCAATTTTATTTTTCAGTCTTTATGATGGTCGATACTTGATCTATCTCTTACTGTTACATCCCCGGGCAACGCCGGGCTCTACTGCTAGTCAATAATAAAAATGTCATATGATAATTCTACGTGTTCTTCCAGTCGCAAAAACGTAACGCCTCGGATAAATAATGAACCATTTTATTCTAATTGTGATGAAAGAAGAAATAATTCAGAGACACTTTTTGACTTTACTGAGGAAAAAAACTAAAACATAATAATAATAATAATAATAATAATAATAATAATGACGGTAATTCACACAGAGATATTAACATTGTGGCACCTTGCATTATTAGAAATATTCATAGAAATATGATTTAATTTTTTTTTTTACTCGGTTTATTAAACAGGTTGTTGATTTTTTTTTTAAACGGAAAATAATTGAGTTGAAAATAATTCACTAAAGTTGTACTTAGACGATCCTAAGGAAAGAAGAAGGAAGGGGAAAGAAAAGAGGAAGAAAGAAAAAAAAAGGAAAGAGAGATGGATGATGCATGACCCGGTCATAAGCGAAGATAGGTGTCAGAAAGATATCTTGGCCTGCGTGTTGGCCGAATTTTTAAAAGACAATAGAGAATTGTTATTTGAAATGAAAAAATCATTTAGAGGGAGAAAAGAACCAGGCTTGATGACAGTGTATTGGCGATTGATAAGAATATCGGTCAAAGCACCTAGCCTACTTTTTTTGCGTGGAAAGACTCATTGTCAAATTGGAGAAAGGGGATTTCTTTTTAGAACAATAGAAACGAAATTTTTTTTAATCGGAGAAAAAGTGTCTTTTGGGTTGAGGGGAGTGACCGGTGGAACTGTATACAGATTCTGACCTATTAAGAATTGGAAACCCACGATAATAAAGTGGGGACATTTTCAATGTAGATAATTAAGATTTTCTGGCTGTCGGGTCTGACAAAAACAAGAGGTGAAAAAACGATTGTCTCAGCTCACAGATGGCGCCAATATTCTTTCCTGAAGTCACATCTAATTAGCGGCAGGCTGTTTTGACAGAGCCCAGGTGAGAAAAAGCCAAGATTGTCATTTTTCGTACGTGCGAAAAGGGCAAAATTGGATTTTGTTTTTTTAAAACAAGAACGATGTAAACCACGCCCGAAAAGAGGAGAAAGGATGCTCGATCAATAACAATTGGTCGGAAACGGTCACGTGGCATACGGGAGAGAGGAGGAGAAATGCTCGATCAGGAATCATTGGTCGAGAGCGGTCACCTGACATACGAGGGACCGGGAAAGATGGGGTGCGCCCCCCACCAAAGGCACTGTGGAGGAAGTAGGGGTGAAAACAATAGCGATAATGAGAAGACAGAAATAATGCGGCTATTGGAATTATTGAGAAACCCCTGACGCCGACAGACCCACCCCGGTTTGCTGCGGCGTCAATAAAAGCAGGGCCCCAATCGACAGAAATCAGAAAAAATCAGTTCAGCCCCGGACGGCAGCGAGAAGAGATCACCTCGGACGACAGAGAGAAGCGGCTGAGTTGCGGCAAGAAAGAGAAGTTTTCCACCCAAGTCGAAGACAAGAGAACTTCCAGCCCAAGTAGACGAAGAAGAAGATTACTCGAAAGCCGCAGAGAAGATCCAGCCCAAGTCGAAGGAAGAAGAAGTTCTATCTAAGTCGACGAAGAAGAAGAATCAACTGCGAATGATCGATAGAAATCAGCCCCAGTGTCGACTAAACCACACTCCGACATACACAATTCTAAAGAGTAGGCAATTCGAAATCTTTAGGTTGTGTGATAGAAGCTTGTGCCATAGTCCACAGAGCGGGTCGGGAAATGAGAACAATTTTGTTTTTATGTAACGGACATTAGATATAAAAGGTTGTTACCCTTTTTTTTTTTATCAGCAATTTTTTTGTCTCGTGAGTTTTTTTTCTTTTATTTGTGTTTTGCCACCCCGTCGGACTCAACTTGTATCGGCCCCAATCCCTGCTGGTCCCGTCTGTCTAAGATCTAAACACAGCGTGGGTAGACAGACCGGAGATCAGTACAGTTGCTTCAGTAACCAGGTATTGGAAGCGAGTTGGGAAAGGCGAGGCTGGTGATCATCTAACCAAGGGGTTGGAGCGCCACGCTTGGAACCAGGAGGAACGACCAGGAGGAACGACGTCACAGTTGGCGCCGTAACCAAGGGATTCGACCCTGGGCCAGGTGTGTAACCGTCACATGTGGTGCCGTGACCAACGGATCAACCCTGAGACAACCACGTCACATATGGTGCTGTGACCGAGGGATTTCAACCCTGAGAAGACCACGATCGACCGCCGTTGCTGAAAATTCAAACAGAACTCAGAACGACCCGGGACCAAAGGAAAAAAAAAAAGAACAGAATCGTCTGCAAGGTAGGACACCTTATTTTATTTCCCAACCTCGATTGTTGCTGCATAGATTGTCTTTCTCTGTAGACATGTCAGACTAAGAAAATAGGGAGTTAACTTACATAATTATTTACATTATTCAGACTGTTATCCTTATTTTCATTGCCATATTCACAACGTTTCAGCCGTTGTACACTCCGGTTTTCTTCAAGTGATTAGAATTTCGAACAAAACCCTTTGTTTCGTCCACCGGAAGGCAGGAGCGTACAACGACCGAAATATTGTGAATATGGCAATGAAGATTTTAAATAATCCAAATAATATATATATATATATATATATATATATATATATATATATATATATATATATATATATATATATAACTGTTTCTTGAATAAAAAGGAAATTTTATGTTATGTTCTAAATTCCAATCACCTTAAGAAGGCTGCAAACTACAACGGTCAAAACGTTGTGAATGACAACGAAGATGAGGATAATTTCCATCCTTGACTCAGGGACACTTTCATTGGTCATCCATTAGTATTACCTTAACCCTAAACTGATAGGGTTTTAGAGAATTGAAGTCAGACTATACAATATTTTCCTGGCATCTTCATTGCAATTTCTATCCATGACCCAGCTATACTTTCCTTGATCATCCATTAGTATTATCTTAACACTAAAGTGATAAGGTTTTAGAGAACTGAAGTAAGACTATACGATATTTTCCTGGCCTCTTCATTGCAATTTCCATCCATGAGGCAGGGACACTTTCATTGGTCATCCAGTAGTATTACCTTAACCCTAAACTGATAAGGTTTTAGAGAATTAAAATAAGACTAGACAATATTTTCCTGGCCTCGTCATTGTAATTTCTATCCATGACCCAGCCATACTTTCATTGGTTATCCATTAGTAATACCTTAACCATAAAACGATAACGTTTTAGGCAATAGTCAATGAAGAATGGTGTCCCAGTTTTAAGTATTTTCAACTGAATGTAGAGCTTTGTCTACTTACCCTTTTTGAGAACTGCGGAAGGCAAAAGGCTGATTTATGTATTTCCGAGTTATAATAACTCAGGTCATAGGCATCGAGTTCTCCTTCACTCAAGTAGCGAATTGGTTCTCCAAGTTTGACTTCCTGGAAATAAGAAAATATGATACATTATGTAAGGTTTAAAGATCTCCTATTATTTAAATTTTAACTGCATATGATTCCTACTGCGACTGGGATATGTCAATGAAGTTTGACTTCATATATATATATATATATATATATATATATATATATATATAGAGAGAGAGAGAGAGAGAGAGAGATAATATGAAATCCGTAAGTGGTAAGGATAATCCAAGTAGATCTTTTTAATATAAAATATTAAATAGATAGTGCCATAACTCAGAAAACTCAGTGTATTTACATAGAGAACAATATGATATACATCAAGAAGGAAAAAAACTTAAGAAATCATCGAAAAATTCGGTAATAAATTTATTTCGACAGATAAATTTTTAATATTTGCTTCATCAAACCGAAATTACAAAATGGTTTAAATTTATCCAGACAGTATATTACTTTAATATATTGTCTGGATAAATTTAAACCATTTTGTAATTTCAGTCTGATGAAGTAGATATTAAAAACTTATCTGTCAAAATAAATTTATTACCAAATTCATCTCAGATACAAAGAGAGATATTAGATCGACCTCCCATCTCCCAAGTCATCAGACTGGACTAGCTCACCAAGGCTGTCTTTCCAGTAAGTCACAACTCATCTTCCTGCTCCTTCCGTACGCCTCATCGGATGCCTTTACAACTCTTATAACGTTTTTTTCATACGAGAGACATCTACTCTCCTTTTTCATTTGTTGTATTTTATACAATTGTTTAATGCTTTAAATTTTCGCTGTTTCCTCTTCGTTCTGCCACTATACGCTTAGTAAAGCGGAAACATATTCTTAACCTAACAGCGTCTTCTGAGATTAAAGATACTGCGTTCCCTTCTTTATAGGGAAAACCGTTCAGTTACCCTAACTTTATTTTGAGGTGATTACAAAATCTTAAAATAGAATGAAAAGAAAGTTTTATTTACACACAGTAACCTATCGAGGTCAAAAGATACAACAAAACTGTCAGGCAAAAACGTTAGTCCGATAAGGCAACGAGTCACTCGCCTGGAGGTTAGCATCAGATGATGACGAAAGAGAAAATGGTTCACTAAAGACGATTAAAAGAAAGGTATTGGAGGTATTAAAATTAACAAGCCATTCCTTGCCCCAATTAACAACAGATTGTGTGCCATCTTTGAGAACAGCTGATCGAACGAACCAGACTTACCATAAAGACAGGAGTAAATAGTTGTGTCATCAGCATAGATACCGAGTTGAGAACAGATCATATCAAGAAAGGTCGCTGATGAAAATTAGGAAAGTAGGTATAAGGAATTTAATGTTTGTTGTTAATTATTTGCGCCAGAATTTTAGAAGCCCTTCTCCACAAATTTGGAAAGGTTTTGAGCCCTAGCACGTTAAGCTTATGTTTAAATCTGACACTAAAGAGAAATGTACTGTTTATTCATGTCGATTTTAGAATAAAGGAATGGCATCTGCCTATATTTCCGAGATGAGGTTTTATAACTATTTACACTATTTACATTTGTTGTCGTATTCACGACGTTTCCGTTGTTGTACGCTCCGGCCTTCTTCGGGTCACTGAAATTTCGAACCGAACCCTTTATTTCATCCACGTTCTAGTTTTACGTGTTATGCTTTTTTCCGGATATCCCAGTTTCAGTAACTCAATTCTGAAAGGTTTTGTTCATCTCTGCTGTGGCCAGGTATTGAACGCTAGATTACTTTAACCAACGCTTTTATGCACTGGGCCATGTGTGAAGCTACCCCCCTCTGCAACTCGTTGCACAAAGATATAGACCCCACTTCGTAGAATTTCTGTACGGCGGATCGAGCGAGAGGCAGGTTCACATGCAAAAGAAAAACACAACTACAAACTTTGGTAGGATGAAAAGAGGAGGGAGGGCGTGTGACCTTTTGTGGATAATTAACTCTGGGCTGATTCTCGGCTGGCAAAAAAAATATATATATCCTAACTAACAATGTCCGGCTGGTAGTGTGTCGCTCTTCGTTGTTACCTGCTCCGGCCTGAATCAACCTTCCTCGAACCTAAACTAAGTCTCTCTCTCGTGAAACCCAAAGCGCTCCCGTATATATGCAGAGTCCTCTTTCATCATTTCCGGGCAAGGGACACCCACGAATAAACCCATAACTTTTTCATGACCATTTCTCCCTTTGAAGAAAAGTGGACATAAAAATATTTCTTAGCCTAGCTGACTCCGATCCAGGGACATTAAATTCAGACCCTTATAAGTTTTGACCAGAGCCGGTCTTTTAACTATCTTCGTATTTTGACAAGTACTTAACACTTATCTACCCTTTTGGCCATATGTCCAAAACATGTTTTTATCTAGATTCCTAATCTAGTCATTGGGTCTTGAAGTTTGATACCCAGGTCAAATCTAACTAATCTTCTCGCTCATATGTGTGCGCGCGCACGCACACACAGATGTGTGGGTGTATATATACACACACACACAGATGTGCGGGCGCACACACACACGCGTGCTCATATATCCAACTCATAGTGTCACACATGTGTCCACGTGGATAAAAGCTTTGGTTGAAGTAATCCAGTGACTTGAGCCAAAGAGTCTTGAGTTCAACAATCCGAACAATGTAAAAGAATGACGGTGTTATTTTTGTCACACATTCTCTTCATCCTTGTCTGATCAAGAATGCATACAATAGTCACTTACCTTGTTCTTGCTGCACAGTATAAATCCGATCTGACCCCTAAATAAGTTGGCATAGGCGCGTAGGCGTATGCTACTTGAGGGAACAATGTCTTACAAAAATCCAGCATGTCTTTCAGCATCTCATGGTCAAACCACTGGCTTTCCCCTGAAAAATAAACACACATATTTGATATCTGCAAACATCAGCATCGATCGACTTTATTTTTCCTTCAATATTCAGTGCCGGATCTGTCTATATTTCTGAGATGAGGTATTATGTATACTATTTACATTGTTCGGACTATTGTCCTCATCTTTGTCGCCATATTTATTACAACGTTTCGGCCCTTCAGTATCTGTCTATATTTCTGAGATGAGGTATTATGTACATTATTTACATTGTTCGGACTATTGTCCTCATCTTTGTCGCCATATTTATTACAACGTTCCGGCCTTTCAATATCTGTCTATATTTCTGAGATGAGGTATTATGTACACTATTTACATTATTCGGACTATTATCCTCATCTTTGTCGCCATATTTATTACAACGTTTTGGCCGTTGTACGCTCCGGCTTTCTTCAGGTGGTTGGAATGTCAAAATGAACCCTTTATTTCGCTCACTGGGGTAGACTGTTCTAGTTCCACGTGCCATGTTTAATGGATGTCAGTTATCAGTTATCTCCTGTTAATTCCCCTCTCCAAGTTCTCCACTGACTTAACCGGGTACTGAACTCTTTGGGTCCTGTCACTGGATCTAACCAACGCCTTTATCCACTGTGCCATGGACCCAAAGAGTTCAATACCCAGGTAAGGTAGTGGAGAACATGGAGGGGGAATTAACAGACGATAACTGATAACTGACAGCCATTAAACATGGCACATGGAACTAGATCATTCCAACCACCTGAAGAAGGCATGAGCGTACAACGGCTAAAACGTTGTAATAAATATGGCGACAAAGATGAGGACAATAGTCCGAATAATGTAAATAGTGTTAGTGCCGGATTTACGTATGGGCTGGTATAGACTGCAGCTTAGGAACCCCAAGACTAGAAGGAACTTCAAGAACCCTTTAGTTTTGAGCCTCCGATAAAACTCAAAAAAAAATTATAAGAACGTAATTATAAGACATAAGAACAGAGGTGTTTGTTTAATTTCAGATTTTGTACTAATTTGAAACTATTTAGAGTAGTTTGGTGTGGGGGGGTCTTTTTAAATTTGGCTAATCTTTTTTTTATATAAATCTAGGTTTTTAATGTATTTTTTTTTTTAGTTTTGTATAAATTTGTCTACTTTACCCAATTTTTGCTTAGTTTTACACTCCATTGAAAATATGCAATAATTTGACTCAATTCTATTGAACACAGACATATATATATATATATTGCTGGCCACTCGTATACGAGGATACCCATCTACTAGAGCGGCTAGCCAATCCCTATTGCAGACGCTTGCTCAGGCGCATTTATTCTTATTCAACATCCACAGAGCCCACCTGTGGGTTATACTGCGATTATGCTGAGCAGACATTATTTGCAGTTTCTAGGAAAGAGCGTGTTATCTAACGTAATCATCAGTCTAAACAAGACCAGCACGCTCAAACCCTCGGTCATGATCACTTGTGACTTCGTGCTAGCACAGCTATGAAAGGTTCCGTCTATCCAGTTTCACTCAAAAGGCTTGGGTCAACCCGTGGTATTTTTTTTTTCGAGCACTTTCCATAAATGCCACACACTGGGATCGACCCCTCCTATAGTCTCGTTCCTGACAAATCGACTATGGTGAGATTCGAACCTGGGTCTCATGGTCAGAATCCGAACGTTCTAACCACTCAGCCACGATGCGCAGACTCATTATTGTACAAATGATACAAAATGGCGCAAAACAAGATGAAAATTACAAACGAAAAAAAAAGTAAATTGTGCAATTTTGAAAACAATATTATCTAAAATATGTTTCGTGTATTATATCAAAAAAAGAACCATCTAAAATATATCTTTTTTATAGACACTGGGTGGAGGTGAACGTAGATAATGAAAGGCTCCCAAATTCTAATAGACCTAGGGACCTAAATTCAGCTCTGCCAACTAAAAATCCTGCCAAATCGCAAAACAAATATTGATAATTATTAAGTATGGCACAAGGCTAAATTAGGAGAAAGATATTGCATTGTGCTCATCGCCCCCCCCCCCAAAGAAGAGCTTACTAGACTAGAAAATCAACATTCAACATTAAAAATTCCTGATTTTTAAAAATTTCAACTGGGACATTGACTTCTTCTTCTTCTTCTACATGCCATTTGCCATCAGAACCAGGTCGATAATGTCTCCCCAAAGCTTCTTTTCCTTTGTAGCTCTTGTTTGTTTTTCTTATCCTTCCCACCCTCTGATCTGCCATCCATTTACAAATTTAGGTAGCTTACTCACTGTTTCTCCAACCCAAAGACTTTGACAAAACAAGAAACTATTTTGACTCCTTTTTGATTCTTTTGAATTAATTCACATACATATGTTTGTAAATAGTATTTATAAAAATATGTATTCCTTAAAAAAAAAAAAAAAATTATTTACATTATTCGGACTATTGTCCTCATCTTTGTCGTCATATTTATTACAACGTTTCGGCCGTTGTACGCTCCGGCCTTCTTCAGGTGGTTGGAATGTCGAACTTAAGATTTATTTCGCTCACTGGGGCAGACGGTTCTAGTTCCTCGTGCCATGTTTAATGGGTGTCAGTTATCAGTTATCTCCTGTTAATTTTCCTCTGAAAGTTCTCCACTGCCTTAACCGGGTATTGAACTCACACTCACACTCTTTTGGGTTCTGTCACTGGATCTAACCAACTGCCTTTATCCACTGTGCCATATGTCCTTGAGTGACTGGACCCAAGAGAGTGTGAGTTCAATATCCGGTTAAGGCAGTGGAGAACTTGGAGAGGGGAATTAACAGGCGATAACTGATAACTGACATCTATTAAACATGGCACGTGGAACTAGAACAGTCTACCCCAGTGAGCGAAATAAAGGGTTCAGTTCGACATTCCAACCATCTGAAGACGGACGGAGCGTACAACGGCTGAAACGTTGTAATAAATATGGTGACAAAGATGTGGACAATAGTCCGAATAATGTAAATAATGTACATATGCCATCTCAGAAATATAGACAGATCCTCAAATAAAGTTTCAGAAAAGAATATTTTATTTTTGGAAAATTTTTAATAAAAAGAATTACATTGCGATGAAAGATGACTGAAAAAGAACGCTAATCAGCTATTTTAGAAAAAAATAAAAAAATAAAACACCGATTCCAATAATTTCTGTTTGAAAGAACCAGAGTATTTCGCTTACTGGAAATAGTAAATTTAATCATTTTGCTTTCAATTAAAGCTAAAATAAAAGCTTCAAGAAAGCTTTTTCAATTCATTTATAAAAGATTCAGTCTAAACTAGGTATATTCAAGAATTCACCGAAAAAACAGCATAGCATGACAAAAAAAGGCACCAAACTTAATAATAACAAAGTTTTATCGCCAAAATGTTTATGTTATTATTAAGAGGAAAGAACAAAGTATTTTTAATTATTTTAAAAATTTTTTAAATCCTTTTTAGCACGTTCGACATTTTGGTTAAAAATCTTTTTTTTCTTGAGTAAGCAAAATTTATGTAAAATCGATTATCTCAGTACATTTTTAACAACTTTGTAAACAAAAGGGTATGCTTTTTTTTGATGAAGTACTGAATATACCTATTTTAAACCTTAGGTATCGAAAATTAGTGGAGGTACCTAAATACAAATGATTGATTTAACAGATATACCCAGCTTTTCTTTATTTTTATTCCACTATTTTTTTCGAATTCGGAATATAAAAAACAAACCTGGACAACCGAATTGCCTAGACAGTCATATCTGGGCAGGAGTTACCCAGTCTTCACTTTCCAGGCTAGATGGAGTCCAAACAGTCTCCTAGTCCCTCTGGGTGATTAATTATTACAACCTTTTCCCACAGACGAAACATTGCAAGTTACTCTATCGCTATTTCCCACGGAAAATGTTCAGATGAACTACATTCCTTAGTTCCACCTGTTCGAGCCTTCAGGGTTAGGACCAACCCTACCACGCAAATGGTAGTGAATCACCACCATTCTCTTTGTATTCCATTGGTGAGATGTAAATACCATTCGAGCAGTAGCTTCTCACGAACCGCTGCTTTGAGGAACCGACTCCCAAGAGGATGCTTCCCCGATCACTACAATCTTCTTAACCTATTCAAGTCTATGGCTAACCGTTATCTTCCCCACGTATCCCCATAAATTGTGCCTCTTACCTCTTACTCTGTAACCCTCTACCTCGAGTGGCTCTTAGACCTTGTACAGTGTGAAAATTATTGTAAAAAAAAACAAAAAAAATACAAATTCTGAGAAATGGTCACTTAGAAGGTAATAGTATATTTTTTATTCAAGGGAAATAACCGGTATTGAAATTATAAATTACTTCCCTTAGATTAGAAATCTAATATCCGGCAGAACATACTTAATTGCACATTATTTCAGTGTTACTAAAAATATTTTACTTCTTTGTGGCTCATGTTTGGGATCAAAAAGATAAAAAAAAAAAAAAATGTCAGGCCCACATAAGTACAAATAGAAATTCCACGTAACAGGAAATACATTTTATTTACAAAAGCAAAATGTAGTAGAAAATATAAATCCTAACTCGACTAAAAGAAAAAATACAAAAAACTATCATAAATCAATGATGGAAGGAATTTTAAATTCAATTTTAATCATATCAGAATATAAAGTTTAAAATAGGCATCGCTTTTAAAAAAAAAAAATGTTTGATGAATTTTTAAATAATTAATTGTAGAAATGTGAATTGATGGTGAGAATCCAGCTGATAAAATAACGCATTCAAAAACTAAAATAACATTTTTTTTAATTCATTTTGTCAAATTGTAACTCATTAACTCACATTAAATTCATAAAAAATGCTGGATTTTTCGTTGCGACCGAATCTGACACAAGGTCGAGGTTTAAAGTGGATTTAACAGCAATACCGTGGGAAAAATTGCCCAAGTCCCCTCGGCACCTCCCCTTTTGCGGACACCTTAGACGCAGGGTAATAGCCTCAGCCCCACTCCGAAAAAAAGATAATGCATTGAGAAATAGATATTAACAGATACTGACATAGCTAGCTAGTTAAATAGATAGATAGATTATGCACTGTGACGATTAGATAGCTAATTAGCTAGATAGATAGATAGAAACAAAATGAGATAGATAGATAGATAGATAGATGAGAGAAAAATTGCCGCAGCATTAGATGGATATAAAAAAATAAGAAAAGAAATGGGAAAACTGGCGCAACACCATCTTCCCGTTTTAGCTTACACTTTTGTTGTGCCGTACTAGTTTCGGAAAGATATTCTACGTAAATTTGACAAAATCGGGGCCATAAAAGTGAAATGATGCCAAATTAGTTGTATTTCCATTCATTTCTTTCAGTTGTTAATGGCGAAAGTTATCTCCCCTGTGTTTAACTTGCTCGAAAAATATTTTCTTTTCTTTTTTTATACGATTGTTCACTTAATGCAATGCCCAAGAGCCACTCAAAGTAGAGGCTTACTGAATGAGTTTGCTGTAAGGATCGACACGGAGGGAGTAAGATACGCATATTGATCCTAGACTTGATTGTAATAACCGGGGGAAGGGGAGCATCATCTTCGAAGTCCTTCTCACAACTTAACAGTTTTGAGGAAGAAGCTGACCCTTCTTCCTTACTAATGGAATACGAAGAGAATGACGATGAGGGGCTCTGTGTACGTACCATGCGAAGGTCTGTATTTGTTGAACAAGGGAGTATATATCGTCAGTTTTAAATTGCCATATCTCACAGGTTTTTTTTTTTTTTTTTGATTTGTAAAAATAAGAAATGAATGTGGTTGAACTTTGAGTGAATGTAGTGTCTAATAATACGCTGTGTTCTGGGATTGCAGCAATTCGCGTCCTGTCTCTTTCGCGATGCTGCTCGAAATGGTCTAATCTCTTGATACTTGCCCTACGCATGGTTACAGTCCTTTTTTTACGCTTGCCCATGAAGAGTTGCTAATAGGCATTTAAGTTCATGCGAATCAGCCCAAACAGCTTGTTGTAGCTGCTACAAAATATAGGTGTTCTTTTCGTTCGAATACGCCTAGCAACAATGCAACCAAAGAGACAAGAGCATCAAAAAGCCTCGCAATTGATGGGGTAGCGACCCTGATTTAGCATTACAGCCGGCGCGTTGTTTGAAAGTCTCGCCTTCTTTCCCTTAGGCTGCCTGAGCGACACCACATCCCTTTTCTACCCATGCAACACACGTGGCAAGTAAGCACTCCAGAAACACTAACTGAATTTTATATATGAACATTCAACAATTTCAAACAGAAAAGTACCTTTCTTTTTTACTTTCTCTTTATTTCTGTAAAGTTTTATGATTCTTTTTTTTAACCGTTTTGCCTCAATCAAGGCGATAATATCACTAAGACGCAAGGGGTTATAGAGAGTGAAAGAAGATGAGGGAGTGTTAGTGAGGAGGAAAGACAATAAAAGAACAGGATTCCGCAAGACAGAAGATGGCGATTGATATTGCATTTACACTTTTCAATATTGTAGGTGACAGGAAAGCAAGAAGCCAGAAGAAAGCAAAAAAAAAAAACAAAAAAAAAGGACGAGAAAAGAAACTAGCATAGAACTTAAGATTAATTCGAGCTAGTTCAATAGTAAAACGATGAGACCTAATTGCCAATCTAGTAGTGCGCTTCAATTCATGCGGTTGAAATAACAAAGAAGAAAGCTCGTCAGAACAATTATGTGGCCAGACATTTGGCCAACAGACATATGGCCGACGGATATTTCACCGAAAAAGTACAAGTGAAAATAGTAACAAGCAAACCTTTAATTATTTTAATAACAGTATTATAAAGTAGAATAAGACTAATAATTATAACTGAATTTCAAGTGATTAAATTACTAAATCTAAATTTAAACTTCAAAGTTTTCTTATTTCAATATTTGTTTATTGAAATTAGTATTTTTTTAAAATATTTTAGTATATTTGGGTAAAAAGTAGCAGGTAATTATTTAAATTCGTATTTAACAGTAAGATAAAAGAAAGGTACTTTTCTGTTTGAATTGTTGATCATTAAAAGCAAAATTGAAAGATCTTTCATATCGTAAAACCTTAAGAGTTTTGCTGTAGTAAAATGTCCTTTTTCTCAAAATACTTATCATCTTACAGTAATATTTGAAGTAAAATATAATATATACAGAATAGATTTTTAAAAGAGCCTGTCAAAAAAAATTATAACTTAATACAGTAAATAAATATAAATATATGTAGAACATTATGATAAAGAGTCTGACATACATGTAAGTACGTCATTACATTTTCGGCTAAATGTCCATTCGGTTAAATATCCGTCGGGCAAATATCCGATTACCGTACAATTACCATGGAAATATTTATAGAAAAGACACGGGGAAGCACGTCATGGCGGTGGGAAAGTGACTGAAATCGAGATGCCAGGTTAGGACCGATAACATTACAGACCATCCTATGGATTTTGTCGAGAATCTATAGTAGGAGCACCAGATGTGGCAGAATGATTGATTAATCTATTCGGTTTTTATGGCTTATCAACCTTTTGTAGGTTATTTAAAGCCTTGAAATATTTTTAGACTGTAAGAATGTTTATTGGGAAGAGGGATGGGGCGATAATGACGGTTTAGTGATACAAGTCTTACTAATTAACCCATAGCTGGGAGGAGAAGAAGAATATTTTACAGAACATTAAAAATTATCCTCACAATTTTAACGGTATTACTACTGCTACCTTACGCCCTTGTTTAAATTAATTGCAACAAAATGAATAATTCCACTATTATTTACTTGTTTTCGTATTTTTCCATTAAAATATGACCCAGTGGACATGTTAGTACTTCATATGTCCATTTCCCGATATCGTTCTTTGCAGATTGACCACAGATACTTGATTGGATTTAAATCAGGAGAGTTTCCGAGCCAGCCTATAGTACTTTGATTTGCTCACTGGTAAGGCTTGCTAGTGTGTTCGTGTTGCGTTATAATTTTCTTACGCTTCCTTGGAGTAACGTCTATCGCAGACAATGGACGTAGGACAACTAATCGACAGTGGAGACAATAGTATCTAGGCGTGATTAAAATCTGATGCTTTCACGGATGATGCAATATTTTTCAAGGCCAAACAAATTTCATCATATCCCCCGAAAATAGATTCATATTACTGCGCACCACCGCAAATGACCTATTCTGAGGAAAAAAATAGAAACTGATTACTCCTTGTCATTCCAGTGAGTCTAAAACTGATTGTATGGTGAAAGAAAGGAAACTAAAACGATTGTTTCAATTAATTTGCACAAGGGTGTACGTAGCAAGTTCTCTAAGGCTGGTAACACGTTTACTGGGCCCTTCGGTGACAGTTATATTTACCTTGAGAACATAAAATGCCGTCTTCTTTCAGTACTTTGTGCATCTTTTCATAGAAATCCTTCGAATAAAGTCCAAGTCCTGGCCCTGAAATTGGAATATCGTTAAATTAGAACAACAGTCAACAATAAACAGAAACCCTTTTTCCAAAAGCTAAGCAAAGTATCAAGAAACAGAAAAATTTCGTTTGACACAAAGTAAACCGTGTCAAATCGATATATAATATAAATTCTCCTCTAATGAATACTGGGCAATTTCCTCACAGGTGAATAAGAGACTCAAAGCAACAGAAATGTGGTTTTATAGAAGGATACTGAGAATATTATGGACGAATGATTTGAATACTCAGCTCTTAATATCGATATACAAGATATGGGAGTGAATGCTGGACAATTTCCTCACATATGAAAAGGATCCCTCAGGCAACAGAGATATAGTTATACAGAATGATGCTGAGAATGCTATGGACAGAATAACGAGGAAGTTTTCAGGAAAATGGAAACAAAAAGGAAATTTATGTGTAGAATTAGAAAGAGACACTTGAAATTTTTAGGAGACGTCATGAGGAAAGATGGCTTGGAGAATTTGACACTCACAAGATATATTGAGGGCCAGAGGGACAGAGGACAACAGCGAGTAACCTACCTAAAAAGCTTATGTAAATGAAGTGGGACGAATAGTGGTTAGAACTACGGGGAATAGGAAGTTATGGAGAGCCATGATCCTTCACATCCAGAAAGGATACAGCACATAGAAGAAAAGATAAATAAATATTTCTTCATAATTTAAAACAATCTTAATTCTTCTCTCTCTCTCTCTCTCTCTATATATATATATATATATATATATATATGAAGAAAAATATACGGAAAAAAAAAATTTCAGTTATCTGTTTGGTTTAGTCTTGCTCGTGTGTCCATAGTCTTTTTCATGTTGAATTGAATATAGTCTAATGTTAATTATGTTTTATGAATGTCCTGAAGATGGTCTATTAGACCGAAACGTCCGACGTTGGCATTATATTAACATTAAAACAGCATAATTGCATATTAGGATTTTTGTTTGTTTTTTCCGTATATTTTTCTTCATACTGTCGGATCTATATCCATATATTTGCTTTTATATATATATATATATATATATATATATATATATATATATATATATATATATATATATAAAGTCAAATATATGATATTTATATATATATATATATGAGATATGTATTATATATATTGCATTTTTTATTATATTATTTTATATATGCGAGGTACTTATTGGAAAACGCTCAATATCATTGATAGAGCTAACATATTTAGTTAGTTTGGTATAGTTTGTGACCTGGGTTTCACGCTATTTGCGATCGTCGCAAATAGCGTGAAACCCAGGTTCATATCTGATCAATCACTAAATATAAATTATATATATATATATATATATATATATATATATATTTAATTAAAAAAAACAGACCATTTTAAGGTACCATTACAATAATTTATTTCACAAAATCCTTCAAAAAAGGAAATAAATTCTTGTAATGGTATTTTAAAAGTGGTCTGTTTTTTCATTAAATACAAATCTAGATTCACATTGAGCTCTCAGGATTTCATCCTCCTTGGAATTACCAAGTTCTTCGTAACTTAACTATATATATATATATATATATATATATATATATATATATATATATATATATATATATAGTACAAATAATAAATCTGTTGGTATATAATCCAAGTGAATCCTAATAGTAAAACCTAATATTAAAACTGATCCACAAAAAGAGCTCAATGTATTTATTATAACAGAACATATAAATTACCCAACAAAATCCAAATTACCTCGTATGGGGGCAGGTATAGATCTATTTCAAATAACGAGAAGTACTTCAGTCTTATTCAACCCCGGTGTATAGATTGTGTTCGTGTCGGAATTAGAAATTTAAAATTTAACTTTGACAGCAATTGAAAAATTATACAGAATTTATTCATTTCGATGTTTCAGTCAGAAGAAATCCCCGAGTCGGTGGTAAGGGGAGGGCCGAAGGTATTAGCCTTAAAAGGGGAGAGGTTTTATAAAATTAAACCCGGATATTAATCGTATGACATTAAACTGGAGTTACATGAAGAATAAGGTGTTAAATAGAATGTATATATTTAAATAAAGACGACTTCATTATATATCTCTTGAAGGATTCCCTTTCAGCCAACACTTTTTCAAAAGTTGGACATTGGCGTAATTAAACAAAACTACAGACATAATCACATAAATAGCGAATGAGGAAGAGAAATTGGAACGAACTATAACTGTAAACCATTGACGATGAAAAACGGATATTAAAAGGTTCCAAAAGAATATAAAATAGAAAAAAAAAAGTTTACTCATGCTCCTTCAATCAAACACAAAGATCGAATGAAATCATCCTTTTGTTTACATAGGCTGGTTTGATATAATTTGATATATATAGCTTCGAGAACTCTAAGATAGTGGACAGATGATTGTCTAATAATTGTTGTCCAATGAGTTTTGTCCAATGGACCGAGTCGCGAAAAGATTGGGTGGTCCTCAATGACTGCTGGATCATAGATGGGCAACCACGTGTTGCGCAATGCGGGTTTTTAATCTTTCATTGGTTCGTCCTATATATACCGCATCACACCGGCATTTATATCTGTAAACAAACGGAACTATTTTGCAAATAGGAAAACCGATCTTTATTAAAGGATAGAAACACAGATCTAGTCTGAAAGACAGTACGCAACTTAATAGTGTTATAACACGAAGTACTGCAAGCGGAAACACTATCAGCAACCAACTGACACTTCCGGCTTAATCATGGCAATTTAAGGTAAATTGGGCAACGGTTGGGTCCTAAAACTATGAAAGAGAGAAGAATTCGCAAACGTTTTTGGTTATAATGTGGATTATTTTATATTATGATTTATTTCATATATATATAATTCGTAAATAATTATATAGGCCACACTACAACATGTTTGACAGGCAGACTCACTCTACACCTTTCTGTACACAGCTCAATTAGATCTCATTTAAATATTCATGGAGACCTACCGGACACTATTCGTAACATATTCGTTGACAACACTAATATAATATACAATCATCTACATGCAAAAAAGGCTAAAAATAATGGAAGCCTTATTAATAAAAACAACAAAAAAAATAATAATATTAACTTTGAACATGGACACAATATCTTGACCGTGTTTTGAAAAATGAAAACATTTTATAAAACATACATGCAACAAACTATTTCTCATTTGACAGTTAACGTATTCAATCCTTAAAATTGGCTAAATGTATAACGCTCGGATAAAAAGAATATTCGGACATTATTTATATAATTTACCATCTGAAAAGAAAATTAGATAGCATGAGAAATTGTATAAAAAACTAAATAAAAGCACCTTGTCTGTCGTATTCAATGAAATGTCCATAAAAAAGGATTGCTGCCTAAACAGACTAATATATATATATATATATATATATATATATATATATATATATTGTGGACTAAGTTCATGCCAGAAATAGAAATTTAACCGTGAAAGCTAAAAATAAATAAATATGTATTTTCTTTTTTATCCCGTGACCCGTAGGGGCACTATGTGTACTGCAGCCAAAGTAGAAGTGGTGTTTCTTGGACAAGATAACCTGACGGAGCCCAACCCTCTCCAGGCCCGTTTTTGAATTCAGAGTTTTTCCTTCTCCTAGACCGGTTGCCACCCAAGGTTATAGAACCCAATTCTGCTATTTACTCATGGCGAGGGAGGGGGTGCAGAGGAGGATCCATGCCTTTTCCAAGGGTTTTGACACGTAAGTGAATGTAATGGATCCGATAGGAATTCGAACTCGGCTCTCCGATTCCTCAATCCGAGCCGCTATCCATTACTCCACCGTACCTAAGTTTGAAAAAAATTTCCAGCATTGAGAAATATCCTGAAGTATTTTGATAGTAGACAGCAATGTCGATAGTTTTTAACTGAAGAAAAAAGTTACTAAGTTACTGTGTTTAATCCGACGAGATCAGTGGGGTCAGAAACACGTGACTCGTGGGCTATCTTTCGATTTTTCTGTCTAATAGTTTCCTCATTTTTTAATAGGTTTAATAAATTTGTTCCTCACTCTATCCATGTACTCACTCGGCTAATGAGTAGATGACGCGATGCGATTGATTAATAACTTCATTCTCAATGGAATTACATGTTAAAATATTATCAAAAAATAATCTAATCTAATATGTCGCATGTGAAAGCCTAATAATAATAAAGACATAACAAAAATAAGACGGTTGCGATGGCATTGATAAACTAGTAAGAATTTATTGGACATAAAGTGGGGGTTCAGTTTTCAATTGTTATTAAGTAATAAAGAATACACTGGTGTTGTAAGAGAGAATTAAGGTCATTTTTACTCTGTTTAGGATCTAGACAACCAGAACTTACCAGTTCACCTCTTCTCTGATCTAACCCAGGTGGCACAATGGGGAAAATGACTGGCTTGTAAAATCCAATGCAGCCAAAACCAAACTAGTAAGGTTCTACCACCACCAAGCAGACCCCAAATTTTCCCCTATCATGATGGACGGTCTTCTCTCAAGAGGGCTTCTTGTCTTGAACGTCTATTGCGACTCAAGCTCTCCTTAGGCCTCAAGTGGAATTCATATATCAGATGCATTGCCAAAGATGCTGGAAGGAAAATGGTCGGTTGTATATATAAGATTCTACTGGACATAAAGTGAGGGGTCGATTTTGTATTATTCTTAAGTAATAAACTGATCCCCAATAGAATTACTGCATTTTAATATAATTGTCAAAAATATATATATAATAAGTCGCATGTAAAAATCTAATAATAGTAAAGTCTTAACAAAATATGGCTGTTGCGATGACACTCATAAACTAGTCAGATTTTACTGGACATAAAGTGGGGGTCAGTTTTCAACAATAACAGTAATAAATTGACCTCGTTCAAAATGCGACATATTAGCCCAGGTGGCTGAATGGAGAAAGAACTGGCTTGTAAAATCCCAAACAATCAAAACCAAAACTAGTAACATCACCGAGCAGACCCCGAACTTTCATTTATCACATGATAGATAAATGTTCTCTCAAGGAGGTCCCATTTGCCTTGAATGTCTATTGGATGTTCTCCCCAGACCTCAAGTAGAACTCCTATATCCGATCTATTGCTAAAGATACTGGGAAAATGTTTGGTTCATTGTACCGCTCCAATAAGAATCTGATTTGTCCCTGCTATACACCATCTTTACAAGAACCAGATCAGACTAAACACACGTAATAATTTTCCCAAAAATATAACATCGCATAATAATAGACTGACCCACTTCAAAATAATACATATTGTCCCAGGTGGCTCAATGGATAATTTAATGGCTTGTAAAATCCAATGCAGCCAAAACCAAATGAGTAACATGCCACCACCATCGAGCAGACCCCGAACTGTCACCTATCATGATGGACAGGACTTCTTTTATGAGGGCTCCTTGTCTTGAATGTCTTTTGAGGCTAAAGCCCTTCCCAGATCTCAAGTAAAATTCATATATCTGATCTATTGCTAAAGGTGCCAGGAAAATGGTCGGTTCACTGTACCACTCTAGTAACCATCTCACCCTTCTATACTCTATCTTTAGAAGAGCAACATCAGACCAATATCAGGGATGGAGCTGCCCAGTCCTCACGTGCCTGTTTTGATAGAGTTCGAAAGCGTCTACGCGGCCTTGTGGGTGATGAATTATTTTCCACCCTACATTTTGCCACAGACGAAACGTCGCAAGCCTCACTCTGATCTATCGCTATTCCCATGGTTTGTTTTCCACCTTAATTAGTTTCAGGACACGTATCCTTTACAACTGGGAACCGCCATGCTAGGTACACAAGAGTGAATCATCAATATTCCTCCGTATTCCAATAGTAAGAATAAGATCGATTTGAACAGCTTCTTCCCAAGAAATGTTGCTTTGTAGAAAAGTTTCCAGACCAGATGTTTTCCCAATCACTACAATCTTGACCTCTTTAAGTCAAAGGTTAACCATCACCTTTCCTATACAACCCATCAACTTCACTTCTTGCCTTTTTCTGGCCTTAATACAACACTAGACATTATTTGGATTTATTCTTGAAAGTCAGTTTGTAAGCAAAATGGCGATTATTAGATACATAATAATAAATATATCAACTCCCTTGCTGATGTTGCAACTGGATTTAATTTGAAAGATTTGTTGGATTTTTACTTTTTTTTTTGGGGGGGTTTAGTGTTTACAGTTATTTAACACCATAACATATTTTTGGATCGTAAGAATTGTTTTGGAGATAATAATTATTTTTTGATACAAATCCTACTATTTAACCCATAGCTGGGAGGAGAAGACGTAGATTCATCCCTTTACTAAGAGTATTTGCGTGTAAATAAATATAACGAACCCGACTGAAATTCGAACCCCGATTTCTCCATTCTGAACCGTTTACATCCAACGTTATAGCACCTATTATTCCTAAGCGGTCACCCATCTAGGTTCTGACCAGGTTCGTCGTTGCTTACCTTCGGTGATCAAGTGAAAACCAATGTTTCCACGTAATATTGCCGTAAGACCGTTACTACTAGAAACGTGACCTCATTCAGAGAGGTCGCAGTTAAATCAATATTTCTAATTCTTTCTACATTCGAATTTTTTACAACTTCATACAAACATAATGGAAACATTGCCAATGATTTTAACTCTAGAAAACATTGCCAAAAATGTTTACAAGTAAAAAGCATTGCCACAGATTTTGACAATAAGAGAAGAAATGCCAAACATTTTCACTATAAGTAACTTTAATTATATAAAAGCATTGGCAAAGATTTTGAATATAGAAAAACCTTGCCAAACATTTCAACGTCTCATACACGCGTCCATTTTTACGATCATTGAAAAACAACAGTTTACTACGAAAAGATTGGTTCATTTTCTATAATTTATCAACACTTTGCTAGTTATTTAACCTCTTCTCCGCCGATTATTTTGAGGAAAACCTTTCATTTTCAGACCGAATTTTTAAGTTGTTTTAATATAGTAACTTAGAAACTGAGGTACCTTAAAGTACCCAAGTCGCGGCCTAATACCTTTACCAGATATATGAGTTGACAATTGGACTCATCTCAAGCTTATAAAGGCATAAAAAGGATAAAAAAATCAACGTATAAACACGTCTATAGCTGGTTTTTGAACATCATATCTTGGACGTGTTTATTAGTTCGTGTCTGAAAAAACACTTCCGGTAAGACGTATATACATGTCTACGCCGGGGAAAGAGTTAAAACCATAAACACTTTTTTTTTTTTTAGATAAAAATGGTTTAGTGATGTAGATCTTACTAATTAACCCAAAGATAGGAGGAGAAAAGGTGGATTCATACCTTTCTCATAGGTATTTTCCCGTGAGTGTGTATAACGAACTCAACGTGAATTGGAACTCGGTTCTCCGATTAACAATTCCGAACTGTTATCCATTACACCACCTGCACATCCAAGCTTATAGTATTTCTAAGCGGTCATCCATCTTGGTCACAGGTTCTCAACCGGGGTCCATATGGACCCAGGGAATCCATGTAACATTACTGGGGTTCACACAAAAAAATAGCAAATTGAAGGTCCACGGTAATATTCTAGCGGTCCATAGAGAAATTTCACTTCAAAACGGTTGTTACAATTGAGATTTCATCTCAATGAATAAATCTGCACTTTTTAAAAATTTATTAATTACATATTTTAAAATGGCTTACCATGAATTATTATAAATGTTCCATAGAATTTTTAGTTGTTTCTTTTCATTAGGTTAGTTTTACTTCATAAAGCATACACGTTTACCATTTCTATAATACAATTCCTAAACTTATCTATTACAAAAAAAAAAATAAGCATATTTTTCCATTGAATGGTAATGGGGTTATATCAAAAAAACTAAGAGTAAAAGTGGTTCAAAGGTCAAAACAGGTTGAGAACCATTGATCGACCAGAATCGACGTTGCTTAACTTCGGTGATTGTACGGGAACCAATGTTTCAACGTGATATGGTCGTGAGCCTTACTATTAAAAGATGTATCCAAAGAAATTTACATTTAAAAGAAAAAAAAATTCTTGTAAACACTGCAACTTCTTGGCCTCACGTTTTCCACTGACTTAAAGTGGAACAATTACATTGAATCAATTGCTGCATCTACAGCAAGGAAAGTTGGTTATCTGTGTCGTTTTTCTTGTCCGAGTCCATCCTACACATCTACAAATTTACCATTCGTCCATCTATTGAAAACTGTTACCATATATGGCCTGGTGCCTCTGCTGTTCATCTCGAGGTCCTCGACAAAATCCAAAAGAAGGTTCTGCAATGTAATCGGTCCTGATT